GCTTAGGAGCACTTCACTCTTTCTGCTAATCTCACTCCTCTCCCAATTGGCACCAGTTTCCCCCAAGGGGGTTCTGGTCATTTCAGCAGGGAAGATACTTATTTCTGAGGCCTGGCCCTGAGAAGTAGCGGCTTCCAGGTACACAGCTGGGATGGAAAGTATCATTGATGGGAGGGACCATCCTTAATGCTCAGGACTTTCTGTCCCACTAGTGATGGGGGGAAAGGTATGTCAGCATCCAGAAGGGGGAGGCTTAGGGAGGTTATCCTAGCACCCTAAGAATTCCTAAGTGAGATTTAGGCATAACCAGATGTAAAAGTCAATCAGTAATCATTTACTAAGGGCTTACTAAGTGCCAGGTACCATGTAAAGCTCTGGGGATTCAAAGAAACTCAGAAATAAAACAACAGTACCCTCCCCCAAGGAGCTTACATACTAAATGGGGAGACAAAAGTGAATGAAAAGGTACATTCACAATACATACAGAGTGGAAGGGAAGATAACCTTAAAATGGAAGGCATCATTTCAGTCATGTAAGAAATCAGAGATTTCAGGGAGCAGAGGTTAGGAGGAAAAGTATTCTAAGAATAGCGGACAACTAGTGCCAGGCAAAGAGACAGGAGATGAAGTGTCCTGTTCCAGCAATAGCAAGCACGCCTGGAATTTTACCAGCATCACTGTACCAAAGTGTAGGAAGTGTAAAAAAAGACAAAAAACTTTACTTACTGCTTATTATACTGAAGTGTAAGAAGATTGTAAAGGTAGTAAAGGACCAGTTGTGAAGATCTTTAAATACCAAAAGACTTTTTATTTGATTCTAGAGGCAACAGGGAGTTTATCTAATAGTGGATGACATGATCTGACTTGTTTTAGGTTAGTACCTTTGGCAGCTGTGTGAAGGCTGGATTAAAATGGAAAGACTTGAGGCAGGGAAATCAACTGGAAGGCTGTTTGCAATAGTTCAGGAAAGGTGATGAAGACTTGAACTAGGCAGGCGGCCATCTTCTGGAGATGTATAGGGGATGGTTTCAGAAAATACTGAGGAGATTCCTGTGAATTGATGCAGAGTGAAGTGAGCAGAACTAGAATGGTTTAGACATTAACTCAAGACAAACAAGTCTGAAAGACTTTAGAACTCTAATTAATGCAATGACCAATCACTATTCTAAAGGACCCATGATGAATCATGCTAGCCACTTTGATTGAGAGATGGAATGACAGTACATATTGGAACACATTTTTTTGGACATGGCCAATGCAGGAATTTGTTTTGACTATGTATATGTATTACAAGGACTGTTATTGTTGCTTGCTGTTTTTTTTCAATGGTAGGGGTAGGGGAGGTGGGAGAGAAAGTAGATTTTGGTTCATTAAAAAAAATTTAATGAAAAAAAGATGTACACAAGAGATTCGAAGTTTGAAGTGACAAAGTCATTTCACCTGGCTGGAGTGGGTCCCATTGGTTATGCTTGGTTATCTTTTCCATTCAATTCAAGAAGCTATTAATTGGTAAGCATTTATTAGGCATTGATGTTTCAGGCAAGGTGCTAGATGCTGACACAGCTCAAAACAGAACAATCCCAGCTTACATTTGAATGGAGAAGATGAAAAGTAAACGAGCACTTATTAAATACTAGGGACTGTGGGTAATAAAAGTGAAACAATCCTTGCTTTCCAGGAGTTTGTATTCTACTGGGAAGAAGCTTGTATACAGGCATCAAGGCAAAATATACACAAGATAGTTTTTGTTTGGGGGAGTTGGAACACTAAAGATTAGAGGCATCTAAAAAGGCCTAATGTAGAAGGTGAAACTTAAACTTTGAGCCGTGAAGGGAGCCAGGGAGTCCAAAAGGCCAACAGTGAGGAAAAAGAACATGGGGGTCAGCCTATGCAAAGGTGTGGAGGGAGGAGACTGAATGCCATGTGTGAGCAAGAATAAGTAGTCCAGTTTAGCTGGAACAAAGGATAAGGTGACATTAGGCCAGAAAGGTAGGCTAGAGCCAGATTGTGAGATCCTTTTAAATGACAAACCTAGGAGCCTGTATTTCATCTCAGGGGCAACAGAGAGTGACAGAAGCTTCCTGAGAATGGGATTAACCTACCTATGCAACGGGAATCCTACCAGTATTGTAGGAATCTCAATTTGGCAGCTCTATGGAGAATGAATTGGAGAGGAGAGGAAGACGGTACAGATAAGGAGTTCAGTTAGGAGGTTATTGCAGTAATAGTTGAGGTGAAAGGTGATGGATACAAGTGCACTGTGTACTAGGGTGGTGGCTAGGAGATGTTGTGAAGGTAGAATAGACAAGGCTTGCCAACTGACTGGAAGTACGGCACGAGAGAGAGTGAAGAGTAGATGTTAGCTCTAAGGTCGGCCAACCTGGATGATTGGAAGGGTGATGGTGCCGGACAGAAACAGGCAAGTTAGGAAAAGGGGCGGGTTTCAGCAGAAAGAGAATGAGTTCCATTTTGCATACCTTGGTTCCCTCTGGGGAAGCCCAATCCCATGGCATCTGTAGCCTCTGTTGTCTTTTATGGAAAAGTTACTGACTCTTATTTCACTCTTCCCAAGACCTTCTGTGCAAAATGGGAACCATTACAGGATTTTTTTGTGAGGCCCCATGCTGCCTAAGGTATCTGACACTATTTCAGGCCTAGTGGAGATTATCATTTAGAAAGAAGTATAGCGGACCCTGTCTCCAGACTTGGAGCCTAGGCGCCAATCTCAATTAATAGAGCAACACAGGATACCAAAGAACTAATATTATCCAGGCATCCCAAGTCTACAGAAATATTTTAAAAAGCTTAGCTGGGGAGATAAGCAACTGCCCTAGGAAAAGTTGGGGAGAGGGGAGAGGAAATGCAAAAGAAGTTAAAAGGCAGACCTGGAATCAAACTAATACATCAGGAAGAACAATCTTAGGATGATGAGACACATAGACCTTCAGCTGATTCTCCCAAGGGGCTCTCTCAGGTCCCTAACCTAGGACAAATTCAGATGTTTCCTTGGAAAGATGCCTCACCAGGCGCCAGGAGGAGGAGCAACAGCCCAAATTCTAGCCAGTTTCTATTTATAGCTCTGTTGAGCAAGGAATTAATATATGAAAGGGGCAGAGAGGCCAGAACTTGGGCCTCAGAGAAAGAGGCCAAAGCCTGTAACTTAGACACAAAGCAGCAGCAGCAGCAGCAGCAGCTGAAGATTGGAGAATGGAGCCAGGCAGTGCGAGACCAAACTAGGGCAGAGGGTATAGGAGCAAAAGGGATTAGCCAGGTTGCCTGTGAATGGTGCCATGCTCCTTCTTCCCAAGGCCATTTTCTTATTCCCTAATGTATATGACAATTGCCCCAGTAGAATCCTCTTGTTCCTAAATGTGAGGGATTATACAGACATGCTTTTGCAGGTGGCTACAGTAGTTAAATCACTGGTTTCCAGGAAGCCTGGTCTCCCCAGATGTTAGAGCCTTTTCCTCTAAAGCAGGGGTTCTTAACATGGGATCCACAGACCCCTTGGAGATAGATTTCAGGGAGTATCTGTGAACTTGGATAGGAAAACAAAATTACAACTTTATTTCATCAACTTCTAACTGAAATTTAGAATTTCCTTCAATTATTTAAAGACATTATTTTGAAAAGGAGCTGAATCAGGAGTCTGGAGAGTAGAGCTATGTTCCCAGTGCTGCCATTTAATCATGTGACCATAGGCAAGTCATTTCACTCATTAACCTTTCTGGGGCTTGGAGTCTGTCTGCTCAATGATGGGGTTGGAGATTATTTTTAAGGTCTCTTCTAGCTCTGAAATATGATTCTAGGTATCTGCACGTGAATGCTATATCTAAACACTGGGAACGAGAAAACTAGCAGATTAGAATGAGAACCCGGTGTCATGTGGGCAAGAGAAACGATGCTATGTTTTCTACCTCAGCAGGCTTTTCAGCAGATATTCAGGACTCTGTGGAGCCACAAGAAAACAAGATTTTCTTTCCCCCTAAAAAAATAATTTTGAATAATGCTGATAGGAAAACAAAATCTTACCGAGGCTAGGAGTTTTTAAAAAGGACTGACTTCAAGACTTTTAAAATTGTGTTATTACTTTGTATTCAAATGCATAGTATTTTATTCAGACATTAAAACATATTTGTGATCTTGATTCAGGAGCTCCCTCTAACAATACCAAAGGCCATATACCATCCACCCTTGTTCCTTCTTTGGACCTCTTGTCCATCCTTGAATTCCCCTAAGTTTGTCACAGGGAGTTTGCTGGAGATTACTCAGTTACTGGTGGAGCACTCTGACTATCTACCTGTCAGTTCTCATTCTTGAAATGTGACAAAAGCCCATCTTCTCAAAAATAAAAACTTTAGGTCTGATAAAAAAAATTGGCCAAAGGTTTAAAAAAGATAACCAAAAAACTCTTCGGAGCGTCTGTGAAGTGTGAGCCTAACTGTAGTACTGTGGACCCTGCAGCCAGGATGTGCATTTCTGGCTTCAGAGATCTGGAGACAATCCCCTTTGTAAGCCTGTGCTCAGTGGCCAGAACCCTACTTGTGGCTCTCTTTTTTTCAGTTCTAGAGGTGGTCCACATTTTACTGAATGGAGGCATACTAGTGAAGGTCCTCCATCATGACAGGCTGAGGAGAGAGGCCATGAGATCAGATCTGGACTGCCTCTCTCTCATCCTAGCACAGGGGTTCTTAACCTAAGATCTGTGAACTTCAAAACAAATGGTAATATCACTGATTTCCTTTGTAATCCTAAGTATTTCATTTTAGGCATTTAAAAATACCATTTCAAGAAGGTTTCACTATACAGTAAGAGGAGTCCAATGACACAAAATAGGTTGTTAAGAAGCCCTGTTGGGGGAGAGGGGAGTATGGAGCAGGGTTTGTGGGGACTTGCCATCCCTTAGGAAATTCTAGGTTTTTGAACTGCAAGAGACCTCCTCCTTTCCCTTCCCACACCTATTCCCCTCTCCCCAATAAGCAAGATTCACCAGCAACAAGTAGACTCAAAAGAAAATTTTTATTTATTTATTTTTGAGGTGGGGGAGAGGGAACTTTACAAGAGTTTTTAAGCTGATAACTAGAAAGGAAGATAAATAAAAGCTTGTTACAAAGTCAGTGTGCTGAGGCAAACTCCCAGAAGACACACTGGAAAAAAAAACCCAAAAACTTTACATTTTTTACCACTTTTACTTTACAATAATTACAAATTAACATACAGCGAGTGGGCTTTAACCCCCCCCCTTTTTTTAATAGAATCTAGCAAGGTAAATGCTTATACAAGCATTACAAAAAATAAACTGAAAGCAGAGGTATGAGGTGTATTACAGCTACTCTCTTGAACATTCTGTGGTGTATGCTAGTGCACTCCATATCAGTAAGAGAAAACAGGAAACCACAAGGCTAAACTTTAACCACAGACAAACTGAACTGGACATATCCCTTTGTCAGTGCTTTATAACCACCATTACATAGTTTAAAAAAAGGCAGAGAATAGTGGAAGTCATTACCACATAGCATCTTGGTATGGTGCACCCACCTATTACCACATAGCGCCTACCTATAACAAAAAGAAGATTAAAATTGGGCCCAAGAGCTAGGAATGGAAGAATTTTACGCATGTTTAAGGTATAAATCGATGTAGGTGTTGGGCCTCTCTCTAGACAGCCACAAGTGGAAGATAATGGAAAATGCATTTTATGGGATGGTTTTCAGTATTCACTTTTCTATAGAAGGCTTCTAATTTTTCTACAGCTAGAGAGGTTATCAGCCAGTTCAGTTTGCCTGTCCTTAAACTTAGCTACTTTGATGGGAAAAAAAAGAATCATGGCCTGTTCTAGCAAGTGAAATAAGATCAGCACTTGGAAAAGTGTTTTGTTTTGTTTTGTTTTTTTAAATTTAAAGGCAGCATATTAAGTTATTTTTTTTTTAAATTTTATAAATCTGGTCAGCAGGTGGCAGATTCCAGAGCTCTGGTTAACTAGGAATGTTATGCCACATTACAAAACAAAAACAAAAACAAAAACCCTGAAACAAACACCTTATTATCCTTTCCATGTACAAACAGGAATCAGAGCAAATGTGCAGCCTTTGAAATAACTCATTGAGAAATGGTGTATTTTATCAAATTCTACAACAGATACCAAAATGGCCCTGCTAATTAAGGAAACCTCATACCTCCCTCACTTACTATCACCCAACATCTTCCTTTATGTCAAAATAGTCTAATTTGAATGATTATTTCTGTGTTTCCAGATTTCAAGGACTCCTAAGATTTAGGAGGTCAGGACCATACAGACTGCAAACTGTTTCACACTGGCACAGTGTATGGAATTTTGCCTTGGTGAAAATCTCTTTTTGAGAAGGTGGCTTCTTGCTACATAGGAATACAGAAACATTACTGAAGCTCACTAGAGAATAAAACAATTCTTAGAGTTTCTCCTTTCTCCAACCATTTGGTCCCCTCCTGTCATCTTTCCACCATGTGCTCTGCAGTATTATGGCTAGGTCTGGACTTACCGCCTTCCTCTACTAAGAAAAGCAAAGTGTTTGGGGGATTCAAGACAGTTTTTTGGGGGCCTAAGTGCCCTGTTCTCAATCTGACTGCCTTTCTCTTTATTCACTTGTTTGATAGTTTCTGCTCTAACACACACTACATATCCTTGGGAGGCAAGAGTAAGAATCAGAGGGGCTATAATCTAAAAGGAGACAGATACAAAGTACTTGTACATAGGCAATAATACCAGGAGCAAAGAAAGTGTTCCCAGATCATTAGTCTTAACTCGTTTGATGGGGCACTGATTTAATTTCAATAACAAATAAGAAATACCAGGCCTTTATACCTCTCTTTAATACTACACTGAACTCCTGAAAAGGATCATGGATTGGGGGCCGGGGGGTGGGTGGGTGGAGGAAGGACAGTTATCAAAGGGATAACTTGTCAGTGGTATTACCCCGAGACATGGAAGACAAAAGGTATATAGTTTACCTCTTCTTTCCTTTGGACTCAAACAGTGAATGGTTTTTTGAGAATGATTCTGTCCCCACAAGCTCACCTAGGGGGCAGAGAGGGGTAAAAGTGTTGGCAAATGTTGAATTGTCTGCAGCATTTCTGGCTTTGGCAGTTTCTAACCTCAATTTCAAAGAAAAAGGATTTATACAAATTTGATTGTCTCATAATCAAGCTACTGACAAGAGATTTTAAAGTGCATATGGCAGTATAAACTGTGATAAAAATTACCGAGATGATAATTTAATGTTTAACTGAAGGTGAAACCTGATTCCATGAAATCCACTTGATTCTGGAAAACTAGGCACTATTATCTGTAAGGTCTCTACCCCAAATACTCTGATAATCTGCTAACCAATCCCCCTTCGGCATCTTTGCTTTGTCCTGGCAGGGAAGTATATCATCCTATACCAGGGGCAAGGAAAACTGTAGAACCCAAAAACCCAGTCACCATAAAAACTAAACCTTGTCACAGTACAGAAAGCCAGATGGGGTCAGTCCAACTTCTCTCCATTTTTTAGAACCAGGATCAGATCTCAAGGTGAATTTCACACCAAGTAAAGAGCATAAGCAGCAAGTTAATTCCCTAAGCTTAGAGTGAAACCACTGAGAGTTCCATTTCAAAGGGGCTAAGAGCTGACCAAGGCACACAGAAGTGGACCCTCTGGAAAAGTGGACTTCCCTTAACACAGCAATTGTAATCATGCGTGAAGCTGGGTAGCTCTGGGTAAAGTGCAGGGAGACTGCCTACCTGTGTCCTGGTTCTGAACCTATCTAATAAGAACCAAATCAGTGGTTTTAAGGAAAAAAAAAAAAGTCCCCATTTCCTAAATGAAAGAAATAAACAAAATATTACAACTTGATGGGGACTTTCAAATCAAACTAAATCCAATTGTGCAGCAATGTATAATTATTTAAATGTGTTTCTGTTTAGAACAGCCCATTTGAGAAGAGAAATTTGATCAGTACTAACACTTTTTCTGTTTTAAACCCAGATCTGCCTTGAGGAGTATGGTGGGGGGGGGGGAAGAGGCGTACGGACAGCTTACTACTATACACACTTTGATACAGAGGAGCTATAGAAATGTCAATTTCATTTCAATATTGCACATATTGTAGTTGTATTTACATTGGGGCTGAAGCCGCCCAGCTGAGAACTGAGTTTTTTCCACTCTTCTGTCCTTCTAAGACCATGCTATCCTATTTATGGGAGATCAAGACACTGTAAGGCATGGGATGCTAAGTAAGCGGCTGGACCCATTTAGCTAGCATGAAAAAAAAAAGTTCTGTAATAGTGGATTTGATAAGGGTTACTTTGTTTCCACTTTGTAGGGGCTCAAAGTCTCTCCTCAACAAATACTCTTTAATCTAAGGGTGCATGGGGAATGAAGTACTCTGCTTTCTGTATTTTTGTTTTGGCGAATTCTTGCTGAAGATTCACAGAACAGATTTGATTTTACATCCCTGTGTCAGAAAGGTAGGAAAGCACAAGAAGTCAAAGGGAATAAATAGAGCTAAGAGGTGGCAAGTTTCTTGAACTGTTAACCCAAGAAACAAGATAGTCCCTTTTCTCTGTCAAGAAATGAAGAAGGGAGAGATGGGAAGGGAGAAAGAAAGGAGTATGATTCTTTCCTTTTCCCTCTTCATTTTCATCTTCAGAGTTACTCGGCCTTAAAGGCAGCCCCAGGTGAAAGATTTACTCATTTTAAGTAGCACACTGAGGAGTGAGAAGTGGTATCATCTCACTTTTTGCATTAGTGAGACAGAGTTCTAACCATTGGGATAATATGTATATCCTTAAAAAAAATAAAATAAATAAAACTAAACTAAAATTTTTTTAAACCAGACTTCTTTCAAAAAAACAGAAAGATAAATATCTCCAATCTGCAAGGCCAGCTTGCAATTCATTAACAAGCACCAAGTAATAGTTTTGTTTAAAAAAGAAAAAGAAAAAAAAAGTATTTTCAAAGCCCCCATGCTCCTGAGGGGAAATGGGTGTCAAGGACCTCACTTGAAGAACAGAATATTTTGCAGTCCGCCTATACTGGGGGGACCACATACTGTATGTGGAGCCTTCAAAGGCTACTGTTGTGGTTGATTTGAAGGGGAAAAAAAAAAGAAAAAAAAACAGCCAATGAACTGTTCTCCACAGAACAGTTAGCGGGAAAGCTTCAAGCAATCACAAATCAAAACATAGTGGGGGGAATAAAAAAAAGCAGCAGATATGATTACTTGCTCCAAAACAGTAAGGAGACAATAGCCATTCAGTTGTCCTCTACTTTCTTTTCCTTCTTTCTTTTTTATTCTCAAGAATTCAAAATCTGCTAAGGTCTCCTGAAGAATTCTGTGAAACACCGAATTCGGAAACTGTTTTTTTTCTTCTTTTTCTGTCAGCCCCTTTCTTATCTTTATTCATGAAATGCCAATACATGGGCTCACAAACGCCAATGTGCCTGTCCTCACTCCCTGAGCCGGAGCCCTCTGGTAGCCAGCTGATACTCGTGGCATGGGGCTGGGAGATGAATATACACAGCTGGACCAAAGTACAGGTGGTGCCTATCTTTGATGCTAATACACTTCACTGGAAAAGTCAGGCTTAGAGAGCAAGGGAGTGGCTGCTGATTTTGAATGCTGCCAAGACACTCATTATACTCTTTTAGAGCAAAGGACTGTCATCCAGTCCAGTTATACTTATTAGGATCGGAAACATTAATTACTTCACATGGAAGGTTCGCAGGAATAGTTCCAGGAGATGTCAACCAGATTTGAATAATCAGTGACAAACAAACAAATGTCTTCTTGCTCAGAAAATTAAAGCTGACACGGGATGTGTTCCCTTGGTAGGTGATAACTCTACATGCCATCTGTGCAGACAAACATTTTGGAAAGCCAACTGATGAGTTTTCATTTTTCTAAGCCTCTCTGGAATATAAGGATAGAGGTGAATAACATCCTTTGGGGATCCCAACAAACCATCAATATCCAGATGCTGCACAATACACCCAATTACAAATATAAGGCTTTCTTTCCCTCTCTTTTCATACCATAGTCAGACTTCCCTCCTAAAATGAAGAAATAAAGGCAAAACAGGAAGGAAGGGTGCAAGAAATGGGGAGAAAGGGCAACCAAAGGGTGAGATATTTAATATCTACATGCTACCTGATAATCATCAGGTATCTTCCTTTTGGGCTGAGCTAAGCTAACCCAACTTCTCTCTACATGCTATGCACAACTTACAGATATATGTACATACACATGAAATCCATACATGTGTACATACATACAGGTCACACTGCAAGGACTGAATGGCATGCTGTTTTTCAGCTGTCATCCCCAGATAAAACAAATTTAGAGGCATGTATGTTTTCATACTTTTAACATCCAAGGAAGGGTTTTGTCACCTGGTAAAACCCTCCTACACACACTCCCGCTGGTGACAGGTGTTTACATCCTGAGCGGGAGTACCACCCATCCCCTCCATCCTTAAGTCCTTGGTATTCACAAGTCACGGCCAAAGCAGACTGGATCCCCTCCCTGCCCCAATACTCAATTTAATTATTTCCATCAAATCCAGGATCCAGGAGAGCACTGTCATGTGTTTCTTAACAACAAAGAGAAGGAAAGTTCCCATGGTGTAAAGCCCACGTGCCAGCAGTGGAGAAGGCAGAGCTGGTGATGATGGGGTCAGATTCCAATAGTTTCTATCTTGGTAGAACAAAAAATTCAACCATCAGCAGAAGATCTCTTCACCTTCTGCTGGTGCTTCAGGTGAATGGCCATCTGGAAAAAGGGCACCCAGAAGAAAAGGAAAATTAATTGAAAGGGAAAAGGAGAAAACAATATGAAAATTTGTTTCTATTCATCACTACACTAAAATGTCTTATTAATACAAGTATCTGAACATATAGTTAATTTTGTATTTTTTAAAAAAATAAGAAGTACACACTTGTATTACCTATCACCCCTTTCCTACTTAATAAATATAGTTCCTGGAAAAAGTCTTACTGGGGACTTTTCTCTGGTCTAATGCAGTTTCTCACAAATATCCTTTACCACTTACTACTTCTTAATTTTTTTGAAAACTAGGGTGTGTGTGTGGTGGATGCATATGTGTGTGTGTATGTGTATGTGTGTGTGTGTGTGTGTGTGTATACATATACATATATGAAAACCAAAAGACATTAGCAACACACAAAGTATGAAGAATAAAAATTATCCAGGCATTCCCTTCTCTCCTCAGCTGTCTTCCCCCAACAAAGGAGAAGAGAATTCCTCTTTTTAGGACCTCTGGAGCAGAACTGTCCTTCTTTTTGACCCCTCTCCCCCACCAGTATTTACTATATGTACCATACATTTTGGAACTTTATTATATTGTCCGTTGAATTGCTGTACGTACGTATGTATGTATATATGTAATTCTTATCTCTCCAACTAGACTCTAAGGCCCCTGAGGGTAAATACAGTGCACTCTGCTTTTGGATCTCCTACACTTTGGGGCACACACAGCAGATGCTCAGAAACTCTTGCAGAATTTAAACACCCAGCTGAGATCTCCAATGACCTCTGAGTTTAGGAGACCAGGTTATGGACTTGGAGGACAGTATAACAATAGAAAGCAAACTGTGTCTCCTCTGCTCCCTTCCTCTGATTCAACCAATCAAAAAAGAAAAGTCAAGGAGAGATTTCTACTATCAAAAAGACTCAGGGAGTTTTGGGTTTTTTTGGACTTACCACCTGGCTGAGAATGGCCTCCCTTGCTCTTCTTCTTCTTCTCCTTCTTTTCCTTTGGCTTTGCTAAACCGAAGAGGCGTGTGGAGGCAGAGGTGGAGACCGGGACTTGGCTCTGCCCCTCTGATACTTTACTTGCCTGGCTGGTGGAACTGAGTAAGTGGAACGGACCTTTGTCTTTGTGTGTCCGGGAGATGCTGTTTCTCTTGGGGGATATAGAAAGTTCTGAGTCCAAAGACCCTGACTGTGATATGGAAGATGCTGTTAGCTGGGAAGGCTCTTCAGGGTTGTGGAAGAAGGCTGGGATCCGCATCAATTTACTGTGTTGATGTGAAACCTGCACACGGCAAAATAATAATTATTTTTATTAATTTATTTGATTTATCAACAATCATTTCCATAAACTTTTGAGTTTTAAATTTTTCTCCCCCTCCCTCCCCAAGATGGGTGCAATCTTATATAGGCTATACATATACATTCCTATTAAACATATTTTCACATTAGTGAAATAATAATATTTTTAAACTAACATCTGTCTAAGATAATCTTGGTACAGGGACTTCAAGAAAAATTGACAAAGCCTCACATTAAGTTGACCTAAAAACGGAGTTTTATTGATAGTATATTAATAGTGGGTTCATGCATAAAAGAAACTCCCAGTAACACAACTCCATCTACCAATGAAGCAGCTGGTGGCACAATGGATAAGACACCAGGCCCAGAGTCAGGAAAACCTGAGTTCAAATCTGGCCTCAGATAACTCATCTGTAAAATGGGGATAATAATAGCCTCTACCTCCTAGGGTTGTCATGAGGATCCAACTGCTTGGCACATATTAATAAGTACTATATAACGTTAGCAATTATTTTTATTTACACAGTTTTGCAACTTAAAGAGTTTTGTGGAGCACTTGGAGGTTATGTGATTTACTCAGGAACACAGAGATAGTACATTTCATAGTCAGGACTTGAACCCAGGGCTTCCTGACTACAAGGTCAGTTTTCCATCCATTATATGCCACACTGCTTTTTAGTGAAATACTTTCTCATACAAAAAGGATAAGCATAATCCCCAAATCCCCACTCTGGACTGCTTTTGGGAAATAAGGCCAGACATATGCATTGCTAATGCCTAGTCAAACAGCTTGGCTCAGGTTACTGCCTGGTTCCAGGTGGACCACAAATGTAAGGGAGCTGGTAGAGTTTTACACTGAAACTGGTAAAGGGAGTTGGATGTCCCACGCTAGGGTGAAGACATCATCACTGCCTTTGATTTTTCCCATTACAAGGTCAGATAAACCCAAACATAGGGGTTGGTATAGAATTCCTTTGGAGTTGAGGGACCTTCATCAGTGAATGTGGCTTAAACTGTGTGATCCTCCTTTGGGGGAAGGGGCTGATCTAAGTCACCTGCATCACTACCTATGAAGTGCTTGTTAGCCACATGATTAAAAGAAAATCACAAAACAGAGCTAATATAAGCCACATTTATCCACTCCCATCTATCCGCTCCTCCATTAATCTTTGTGAAAAGGTTAGAAGTCCATTGTTATTATCCATAACAATGATGTACATTTAAGGCTAGTTGAACAAACAGTCTGGCTTACTTGTTTAGGCAAGGCACTAACTTGTGCCCAGGCAAGTAAAACAATTTAATTTCATGGTGAAAGGTGGTAGGTTGTCAATCTGAAAACCAATTTACAGACAAGGCTGTAGATAAATAAAAAGAACAGGAAGGCTCATTGCCTGGGTAGTAGCATCAGTCAAGAGTGCCCAGGGTATGGTCTAGAATTTAATCTCCTGCCTATAGTTTTCTTAGTATTAAGGGTAACGCTAGGGGTTTTTTGGGTTTGTTTTAACTGATGGTGGCAAAAAGAATGCAAATACATAAAATACATTTAATTTGTACCTTCTCTGTTGCCACTAGAATTCTCCTTGATATAATATTAATCATGGAATTAGGGTTAAGGTAGAGTTGCAAAACATAACAAAGAAAACAATGTGGAAAGGTTCCATGACCCCAAAACATTTGGGAAACCCCTATACTTAGCCACAATGGCTTTTTTTTTAAAGAGCCATTTACTGGTTTGTGTTTTCTAATGTATTTGGAGGCCAGAACCATTAGTCAAACCAAATGGCCACATGAAATTGGATCTAACATACCTGTAAAACCTGCAAATGAATGTGCTCTCCTCAGTCCCTACATGGACCACAAAGAGAAGGTTCTAGGACAATTTAGGGACAATTTCAGAAGAACAAACCTTTGGTGGAGACCAAAGTTTTTAAATAATTAGAAACCTTTCTACCAACACAACAAAGACAGAAAAGAGGATCGAACTGGTTTGTTAATGGCCAGTTAGTAGCAAAGCATGGGTGAGAATCAAGGAAATGTAGTTTTTTTCCTATTCTACCTTCCCACATCAATATGCATATTCCTGCTCACTCCTCCTTCCTAAAACAAACCTTAGCCTATTTCTGGGTCACCCAGTCACTTTAACAATTTTATATCATTCATACTCATGATACAACTGTAATTTATGTGTTTCTGTGTATCTTCTCTTCCCCACTGGGTGATATGCTACACAAAGGATAAGGAGCATGTCTTATTTCCTCTGTAGTTCTTTTACTTAGTAGAGTTCCTGGAACATGATGAGATCCAGAAATAATATGAACTAATTTTTTAAAAAAACTTGCCATACTTAAATGAAAGTTTTGTTGATGGTTTTTATTTTTATGGTCCCTTTCCAATAAATCCTCTCCCCCAACTCCCCTCTTCTAATAAAAACCAACTAATAGAGTGACCACGCAACAGTTTATGTGACATTTGCCATCCATAATCCTGCCCCTCTCCAGTGAGAAGAAGGAAGGGTGTTTTATCAACTGGTCTCTGGAAACAAGTTTGCTATAACCTCAGTTTTGGCAGAAATGTTGCTGCTACTTTAGACTGAGCTGATGTCTGGTAAGGAGGCATAAAACAAAATGGAAACCCTTCTTTATGCAGAAGTAAAACTTATTAGATTCCCAATCATTCCTTACAACAACAAAAATGGTCTATGATGTCATGATTTTAAAAAAAAAAGGAAAGAAACTCTTCATTTTAATTGATTTCTTTCTGTGAATTGCAAATGCTTTTCAAAATCAAGACTGTAGATTTCATATAGCGCCTATCCAAGAAGAGAAAAGGAAGACTTAGTTAGTTCTGGTGCTTTCAGCAGCTAAGGGGAATTCTGGATCACCTGATCAGCATCATGCTCTGCCTGCCTTTGGGTTAATCTCTCCGTCTCTCTCTTCACTCGCTCTTGTTCCCTCTCGAGCTGCTTCTGGGCAGCTCGGAGTCGCTCCAGGTCAGACTGATATGCTGCTTTCTTCTGTTGGAGCTCTTCTCGATCCTTGTCCAGATCCAGCTGCCCCCTCTGGACTTTCTCCTCCCACTGGGTCAGCCGCATTTCCCGTTCCATCAGTTCTTTCTCTCGGGCCTCCCATTCTTTCTCCCGCCTGCGTTTCTCCTCCAGGTGCTGAGCCTGTTGCTTCTGCAGATTGGCCAAATCCTGTCGCTGCTTTTCTAGGCTCCTCTGCTTTTCTTGCTCAATCAGAGAGCTCGGTCTGGAGGAGCCCCGGGTTATTGCCCTCTCACTGAGCATCAACTTTTGGTCCTCAATGTAGCTATCCTGCTGTAACACCACACCCTGAAGGGAGAGGGAGAAAAATGAAATTATCCTGATTCGATGTCATGGTTTATCTGGTCTTCAGTTTTTTGTTGCCCACCTACCCATTACATCCATCCCTTTCAGTGGCTGCCTGTTAAGACTATATATTATAAATTCCCAAATTGGTATTAAGTTGGCACTGTGAATTTTCTTTCCATGCCATCACCTTTGGCAATAATTGTATGGGTGTATGTATGCCTTGCTGGGACAGGGAATTCATAGGGAGCACCAAACCATGCTAAAGAACAAACTTGTGCCCTAATGAAGATGATTCACTAGCACCTTCACGAAAATGAAGAAGAATGAAATTATTCTGTTATCTTGTTAAATCTGTCATGAACTGGTTCAGGTCACAGACATTATTTGGGGGTAGGAATTAGTAGTAACAGAAGACCAGAGTGAATGGAAACCCTAGTTTTTTGTTTTTTGTTTTTTTCCATCTGTGTTTACACTCTTAGAGGCAGCATTTAATAGTGCCTATTTTAGAGGAACCCCCCCCCCACAATGTTAATGTGTAAAAATAGACACAAGGCATACATATAGCATATATCAATTTAAAGATAACATCAGGTAATTTCCAGGCTGAAATTAATATCTAATTTCCATCATTAAACGTAGGTTTCTATCACATAGACTTTTACGAATGTCACCCCAGAGTGTCCATAGCTTCCCAGTGAGGGTATATTTTTCATTATAGTTGATTTATTTTCTTCCACTCTTTTTTGCCATTTGATGATGCTTGGTCTTCAGCACCATTTTCCAGGTAATTAACACTACTTCACCTGTCTCAAAAAGCTCCTAAACTGAGTAAGTTGTAAGCAAGCAAAAAACTCAACCCTAAAACAAAACTGCAAAGCAATTAATAATAGATGGGATGAACTGTAAGTAAGGTACCTACCTGCAGAGCACTAAGAAGTTCATGTAGATGAACAATACTCTGGATAACTTGCTGCAGGGAAGACAAACAAAAATCAGAAACACTGACTTTAAGAGTTTCCCAGATCTCAGAATTCACTGTAATACTGTGGTTATTTAATGAGAAAACCATGTCTTTAAAACACCGTACAGTGCCTCTGTATTCGTGAAATCTCCTCAGTTCTGGAACATACTTTCCATCTTTTATTTGACTTTACAACAGTTACTTGTGGGTGACTAATTTCTCCTAGTTCAAATCATTTTATAATAGTCAGTTCTACTATCATGTGTATTTCAAAAAATGTGAATTTATTTTAACACAATTGATATATTAGGGCACATTTTGAGCATAACATGATTCTGAGGTTGCACTGCTCAACTTCTTCCTTCAGAACCATCACAATAAGTCACAAGTTACATCTTTTCTGACACCACTTCTAAAAGCAAATTTCAGGTCCTTTTCAAGGTAAAGGACTATATTTATTGTATATCTTCTTGTGTAGTAAGACCTGTGAGTGAAGACAGACTGGCTGACATCCCCTCACCCTTCCATGGTCCCAAGTTGTTGCTGCCTGCCAAATTTGCTTGTGTAGCTCAAAGGGTGGGCCAGGCAGCAGCTTGGTCATTATTTATTGTAGTATTTATGTATTATTTTTTTTTACTGGTTAACATGTATCAAACTGTGCTGTTTTTATTAGATTCTTATCTTTTTTTTTTAAATGTGGCACTCACAAAGTTTTTGAGAATTGTTCCCTATAAACTCTATGGTTTTTACTGCACCATTTTGCATAGAGAGATACTTCCTGGGAATGCCCTGTTACAGTAGAACTTCCTGTATATAGCTTGCTCCTTAATTGCCCAGTAAACATATCCTGTATTTCTGTGTCTTATCTCAGTTGTATCAAACGAGGGTAAGAAGGCAGGCTGAAGAGAAGTTCTGTCTCTAGCGGTCAGTCCCTCAGGTAGTGAGTATAAGTGACCTATGTAACTCCAAGGTTCATTTCATTTTGAACTAAAATATTTATGAGGGTTCCTCCTTCAGGCCACCATAGTTTTTATATCTTTGTAGAGTTAAGCAATCACCTACAGCATTACTTACTGAGGAAAAGTCCATTTTTAAAAAATGGGGTTCACAAAATAAAAAAACTCATCAAGTATTCAAGTATGACATACGAACTTGAAACACACAGGATACTCCTTAAAAACAAGCATATTCATGAGATGTACTGAGAAGAGCACTGGATTTATAGAGAGCAGATCTGAATTGGAATTCCAGCTCTGCCATTTAATTTGTTGTGACTTTGGGTAAGTCAAATAATCTCTACGCTTTAGTTCCTTCATCTGTACAAATGAAGAAGCTGAACTGGGTGCTCTCCAAAGTTCTCCTCTGCACCCCTCCCCAGCTCTAAATCCTATAAAATACATCTCTTAATATTATTCTGCTTCTCTCGAAGAGTCAAATATTTATATGGAAAAATCAAGTCTGTAGAGTAAAAACACCTGCAAGGACTTCCATTGCCCTGAAGGATGGAGAGAGCTTGGATCTTAAGAGACTGTGATTAACCACGATGAAAAGGAATAGTATCCAAATGAGAAATCTTACCTGAGAGAAAATGGGGCTGCTTCATATTTTAAAATATATGATTAATGAAAAAGGAGCACTAAAATAACTCTTCCTTACTTTCCCCTTCCCCCCTTTCAACATACACACAAAACCTAAACTTGTTTTTTTTTTTTTGGTAGGATAAAAAGTTTAATTTGATTCAAACTCTCAGCATCTCAGATTTTCATAAATAGCAGGTTTGTGATCTAGCCTTTGGTCTGAGGAAAAAAACATTAAGTAAACTTGATATCACTGTTACTTAAAAAGATCTAATAATAAATAACTGGCCTCTCTAGAACAGAGCTACTGTTTTTCAGTTTGGCTTCACGCTAGATGCCAATGGGGTATTGCTGGGATTCTAGGCTGAAGACAGAGAAGGGGTTGGTACAAAAAAGGTAAAGTAAAATTAATTTATAGAAAGACAACTTACATGCTACAAATTTAAGAATTATAGCCGATAATGTGTATTTATACATGGTAAAGAAAACAAATGATTTTTTTTTACGTAACAAACAAAAAAAATGTATCCTAAAAAAAAAAATCAGAACATCCTTACCTCACTGTTTCTTTTCAACACAAATACCACATTAGCATTTCCACCCTATAAAAATATAAGGAAACAGAACAAAATGTACTTTTTCAATGAAGAGAAAAGTTAAAAAAATCATAATCACCACATTTTAAGGCTAATCAGACGACAACTTTCTATTTTACTTTTGGCAAAGAGAAAATTACTGTTGTCTCTGTATGTGGAAAATACTTTCTATTTAGAAGAAAATCTGGTATCACATTGAGGTCGAACTGAAACTGATCTGCAATACTGAGAAGTGAGGGCTGCCACAGAAGATTTTAAATGTGCCTCTTCTTGATACACAGGTTCCCGAGAAAAAACATAGGGCTTGGCATGGCTATCATTTGTGCCAAAACAGAAAAATGAGGTGACCAATAAAATTATTTAAAAGTTGGGAGTAGTCAAAATGCTTATATTCTAAATGCATTTTACTCTTAAAAAAGGATTACTATTATGGTAAAATAACCTTTTCAAAACCCATCATTTCAAGGGGCAAAAGTCAAGGAAGAAATATAGTTTCATTACAGCGGAATACCTTTTTTAGACCACTGTCTGATTCTGTCCTCCGAAGATCTTGGCCATCATCTCCATCTTCCTTTTCACCACCACCTTAATAAATAAAGTAAAATTACTGACAAGGGAAATGAACTTGCCAATCCACGATAGGATGCAGAACATATCATAATAGAACTTTATTGGTAACACATAAGGTAAATCGTTTAATGAAAGGTGGTCAGTTTTAACCTTATTCTTCCTGAAGCCAATAAACTGGAAGAAAGAATGAAATTGGGAAATATATAAAAATATTAGCTCTTCCCCTCTAGCCTCTTCTAGGCAGGAGACTTCCAGGAAAATCCCTTTTATCCTGGTAAATCCTTTTATCCTGTCAGGTAGGACCCTGACAAGAGGTACTAATTACAGTTAGGGGTGGAGAGAGGGCAAGGGAAAGAAAATAGTTTTTTTAAACTTAAGAAACCTTCTTAGATGTAAATATAATTCCCAAATATTCATGGTTCTCTCATCAGGCTGGAGTCTGAGCCTTACTGTCCCCTCTGTTATTCTTTAACTTAATATTTTAAAATGAGGCATCTCCTTCACTAATAAGCGTGCCATTTTATTTAGAAATATGAGAAGGTACAATTCCCCCAAAGGTACATACCCCTCAAGGTATCAAAAATCATGTTGGCTTTAGCATACTTTGCAAATGACGAGATGTGAAGTACTGATGTAGGTAGGCAGACTACTTCCTCTTTGATAGGTTTATGGCTTGAATCAAATCAATGATGTTGCCTATATATTTTTGCTCATAGGAACAAAAAAAAAGGAAGCCTCTCAGGAGAGAGGAGTCCCAACAATATCCAGGAGTTGGCAAACACTTCCACCACATGCATCTTTGCAGTATTCCTAAAACCCAATCAATGGCTCTGTCATTATCTACTCTGAGTAAACACATCTTTCTCCCAAAGCCATAGATGATAGGGATGAGGTGAATTGGAAAGCATGTATCTTTTTGAGGTCAAGACAGTAATGTGATTGCTGCAAGTTGAAGAGAAGCAGGGAGGTGGAAGAGGTAGAAGGCAGGGGAGAGAGAGGGAGAGAGAAGAAGGGAGAGAGAAAAAGAGAAAGGAGAGAGAGGAGAGAGAGAGAGAGAAAGAGAGAAATGGGTCAGGACAAAGTAAGGGAACAGGTTTCATATACTAATCTCTGTCATCTAATCTGCATAAAATTCAGATGCTGCAGATTTTAATTTATCCTTAAGACCAAGACAAAAAGTGTGAGGGGAAGACACCACACAGAAATGAAAACCCACTTACTCCAAAGGACACATATGGGGATAAGTCCATATGCACAGACACACATGTATACTCTATGGCTCTCTCCAGCATACACATGTACATACACACGGGCAGTCCCCAACTTATGAGCAGGTCGTGTTCCAAAATTTTCATATGTAATTCAGCTGTTTAGAACTCAGAACACATTTTCCAACAGAAACAATGTTGAAGATTGTGGTCGGTTTCCCAGGCTTGCACACAAAATCCTACTTAACCCATAATGTAGCTAAACTATAGTGCTAATATAGTACTAGCCTGAATTCTGGGTCCTGGGAGCAGAGGGCCATGACAGTGCGTTAGGAGGAGAAGTGTTTCCTCCCCCTTTCTTGGGTACAGGACTGGCCCTAGGCAAAATTTTGAAATAGGCGAAGTTTGTTTTTGGCACCCTTCCATCTCCCTTTCTATATACCCTCTCCCATCTCTTAAATGTCCCTCTCTCCTCAGGCTCCCAATGTTCAAATGCTGCCTTAAGGCTCCCACTGGGGAATTTCCCCACCTCCCCAGGTCTGCCCCACAAAGCAGTCTATTGCTCAAAACTTTCTACCTTCCTTCTTCCCCTAATCGTAACTTCTACTCCTTCAGTGTTAACTAAGTAGGAACTAGAAAGAAAACAGCTAGATCAAACTAATTTATGCTAATATGCGAGTAAATGACCACCCCATCCCTCCTACTCAGAAATTTGTTCACCCAAATAAATATCTTTAATTGACAGAATTTCCACTTCTTGTAGTAAAGAAAAATGAAAGACTATACAAGGCACTTTGTGGTGGAAAGGTCACCCATTCTGCCTAGAAGACAGTACTACATCAGTAACTGCTTTTCACCTTTTTCTACTTCTGTGTTCTGGGTAGTGTAGGATATTCTTTACAAGCATCAAGACTTTTGTTCCCCTGTCACTAATAATAGGGGGTCCAGTCATGGGAAGGGAGCTATGGATGCAGAATAGGGCCCATTCCAACTGGTATGAATTAGGTGTGTACCAGGTGGGGGACTGCCTGTATAGGAACACAAATTCAAACACACCTACCTTTTGAGGCATTCATCTGGTGGCTGTCAAACCCTCCAAAGGTTTCTGCTCTCCGAGGTAAAGAAACTGGGCCAACTATTCCTCCTTCTTGCTCCAAGGTGCTGCTGACGGACTGTCCAAGTGTGCCCCCAAGGCTGCCACTCACCAGGCCTTGTAGCATCTCCACTAAAAAATGAAAAAGGACATGATAAATTTCATCACTAGTAGAGAAGAAAGTAAAACCATGGTAACTATTGGAGACAAGGGGCATAAAGAAGGGTCTAAAAGAGGGGGATAAGCAGACTATTCTTCGGCTCACACTTGGACAATCTGATGAACATGTTATTCCTATCTCCACACCTTTTCCATCCTCCACAACTAAATGCACTCCCTTTGCAATTCTACCTCTTAGAATTGCTTGTTTCCTTTCAGACTCAGTTCAAATGCTACCTCTGCATCATGATTCTAAACCTGGGGTCTACAGATAGATTGGTGGAGAGATTTCAGGGGTAGATGAACTTGGATGAGAAAGAATAACATCTTCATTTTTAATAACTTCTAACTGAAACTTAGCATTTCCTTCAATTATGAATTTAAGTAATAAACCAGATAAGTATTAGACTTTACCAGACTAACAAGGGGTTCCATGACACAAAGTTAAGAGCTCTTGCTCTATATAAAGTCTGCTAGCATTCTCCCTACCAAAATCACTTTCTATTTTGCAAATACATATATACATGCATATATACATATATGTATACATACACATATTTATGTATTTGTATACATATCTATCTGTTGATACATATGGTATCTGGCGCAGAGTACGTACCTAAAAAATACTTAGAGACTGATCTCTGGCTTAATTTATATATAACCTAAGGAATTTGTGATGGAGTACAGAACATAACATAAGCCATGTAAGTCAATGCCAGAGAGAAAGAAGGGAGGGAGAGAGAAAGAGTGTCAGTTACCTACCCTCATTTATTGCACTTTTCATGATGGGCCCTCCTTTGGGAACCTCTTCAGTGTTGGACCTGAACAGTACCCTGGAGCCATGAGTTGGTGAACTGTCTTCTGATAAAGGCGTACTGCAGTCTGTCATATCTCGGAAAATCATCTCCTTTTCCTCCAACAGAGTTAAGATCTGCTGATCTTTCTGTTGGAGTTGCTCTGAAGAATGGACAAAGAGACCAATTCTGAGTAAAACCCATATTTTGAAAACTGAAGTTTATTTGAGGTGTGAGTGCCACCTGGTGGTACTTTATGAAAAAGGACTGGACTAGTCAGGAACCTTAACCTATTCTTGAGCAACCAGGTCATCTTCAGTTACATGAACTTGTCAAGGTGGGAAGTCCATCCAGGCAGGTAACGTAAGACCTCCCAATTTTTCTTACATAAGCATAAGTCTTTGATATGGCCTTAGACAAAAACAGATACATTGCATAGGACTTTACTATTTATATATTTATTGGTTTTTTACATCTCTTATTTTCTGATTAAAATAGGATGGTTTTGTCTAAAACATGTCTACGTGGGGATTGTCATAAATAGTGCTTGGATCTTTTGACTCTGTACCCAATTTCCATCTTAAGCATCTTTCAAAGTTACTCAGGACACTGAGTACCAATGAATAACCCTAGAACTGGCAGTAAAATACAAGTGATTTTAACAGGACTCTTACTCCCCCAAAAGCTGGCTCATTCTGGGTCTCCTGTGAGCCACCAATCTTGGCTAAGCTCTCCATGACCTAAAAACCAAGACACTGACCATGGCACCAAATCCTACTACTGGCACTACGTGGACGGTGGTGTTTTCTGAATTTTTTGCTTCCCTTTCTTAGATCCTATTTGGGTATCTCTAATCCAGTTCCCTTTTCCATCACCTCTCTATCAACAACAAGCAATGTAGTGACCCTGTCAGACAGAGAATACCAGCCCATTGCTGGCATAGTTCTTCAAAAGCCTTTCTTAATGTTTAAATATCATGTGGTCTCCATCCTGATCTCCCTGTTTACTAACTAAATACACATCTCCTCACATTTAACTGCTGGCTGGGACATTACAGGCCAGTGACTGAACAATTGATAACTTCAGGCATCTCATGCCTTCAGAAGCCACACAGGACAAATGGTGGTCTTGACCTCTCTAAATAGCTTTACCTTTTAATTCTCGGGCTTTCGCATCCAACAATTTCTTTTCTTCCTCATTTTCACTGGGGATTCCTTCATCTTCATCTCTGTTCCTTTTAAAACAACAACATGATCATAAGCATATGGTATCAGTTACCCTGGTTACTGCCGAGCTCATCATAAAAGATCACAAAGAAGCATTATGAGGGACAGGAATGATACTATCTGATCTCTAACTTACAGGGCATTGATAGTATCTTGAATGATTTGAATCCAACTGTTTCGTTCCTCCTTAGAGTTGGCATGGACTTCAACCATCTCTGGATCCTTCATTCCCATACTGATTAGGAATAAGCCCTTCTCTTCATGGGCTACTTCTCGTACAATCAACTTCTTTAATGAGATCACCGTTGATTTCTGGTCCTTGAAAAGGGGAGCAAAAAAAGGGGTAAGAAAAGGCATTCAAAGTATGACTTTCAGGTATAGCTATGATCTAAAGTGAGACCTTATTGCTATCCTTAGTATATTTATTTGGTTTCACAAAAAAATTAGCATCTTCAAGGGAAAAGTCTCTTACCCACACATATATTATAATTTGATCAAGCAGAAGAAAATATTATCAATGATGAAATAATATCAGATTAGAAAATTTTTAGTAATTTTTTATACGAAAAATCCTCCCAGGAAGACACAACGAACATTCTGTTGACTTTGGTCAGCAATTTCATAAATGGTTTGTGTGGACAGGCATGGAACAAATATTTCAATGATAGGGCCCCCTCCATCTCCCAAGATGAAATTCCCAAGTGCCCAAGGCATAACACTAAAGTCAAGGACTTGTAAAAGAATAGTTTTAGATACATTTTTCACTAGAAAATTTGGTGAGTGTTTAAAAAGCTAAATGAAAAGATACAAAAAATATGTCCGGGACAAATCAATTTGAAAGGGTGGAAAGCAATATAGTGTGAACAGTCAATACCTAATGAGGTTGAAACAGCACATTAGAAAAAGCACATAGGTTCAAGAAAGTATTTGTAGCTTACCAGTGATGCAAAGACATACTTCTGGTCTTTTTCTTGAAGGAAAACCAGAATGTCAGTGAGTAGAACTGCCTGAACCTCTAAAGTGCAGGTGAAGAGAAGAGAAAAAGAAAATAGCCATTTAAGAGCTGAGCATGGTAGTTCATATATGTCTAGGAAGGTTCATTTAGCAACATATTCCAGGGCTATTAATGATCACCTGAGATCACTAATATGACTGAGCATTCTAGATCTAAATTTCTTTAGGATGTAGGTTCCATACTTGCTTCCTTGGGACATATTTAAAAGATTTCCTTGGTTGGAAAGGCTCCAGTACTAGAGCAACTCTAGAAAAAGACACTGGCAAGAGAATTCTAAAAAGGATTATGATGGCATTCAACGAATTTGAAATATCAGTGATAATCTACTAAGTATCTATGTTGTTTATAATGCTGGTCAAAGATATTTTCTTACCAAGGTCTAGACTTTGGCAGCTGGGGAAAGGCATGGGGCAGAGAAAGGGAATGCTGCCCAATGGTGAGGCATGTGAATACCCAAGTCCAGCTCTTTCACCCCTCAATGTGCAGTTAACAAGAATGAACAAAGCTCCTTCCAAGATTCCCTCAAATTTAACAAGATTGCAACAAGAATTACCATCCACTATGTCTCTTGCCTCCACTCCAACATCAAGTAACTTAAACCTCCGCACGTTGTGAGCAGAGAATTCACTTCTCCTTACTTAAAAAAAAAAAAGGCACATTTCAATCTCTCTAACTGGGACTGTACTTTTTGAGTGCAGTAGGTTTCCAGAGTCATTCCACAAAACCATTTTCAAAAGTTCATTTAGTGGCAGGGCCAAAACTTTTAGAGATTTGCTATCTAATGTGGCCTAGTGGGTTGGCTCACTACAGACCACTACTGCTGGTAAAAGTACAGAACTGCTTCTTTTGGAATGGAACTTAGGTCAATATATACCACAACCTCTCAAGACATATAATGACCCTTTCCCAAGGGTCCCATGGGATCCCATGTCACTATCCTCCTAAATGTCTGAAATCTCTTTTTACTTTCCGAAATTCAAATGAAAGTAGTGAAAAAAGAGGAGTTAGGACCTCTGGTTCTTAAACTCCTAGAGAGATCTAATTTTTCAGCCCAGACCACAGTAATTTTCCACGTATAACATTAGTTATGACATATTGGTCTTTTTCTGGTTTTGTTTTAAAAAACCTAGATGCCAAAAAATCTGAAATACAGGCCTCAACTCCACTGTGTCCTGAGGTTTGTATCATTAGTGTCAACGGACTAGAGAAAAACAAACCCACCCTTTATTCTAGAGTACATAGTACTGGCTGTTCTTGGCATTAAGTTGGCTTGGGGAGGAGAATGACTACACATGGCCCTCTCCACTGGAAGTTTTCAGACCTGAAAACCTGTCGTCATCTTGCTATTGGCCTGGACATAACTGGAACTCCAGCAGCTGGACTCCATTGTCACTTTTTTTTTTCCTCTTTAGCAAAGAAAAAATACTTTGTTTTAAATGAAGGAGAATAAAGTCTTAGCTTCAAATGGCAACTCTAGGAAACTCTGGGATTTTAATAATAGGGTGGGTATTTATAGGATAGCAAATGCCTCCTAGATTGTCCTGAAGTACACAAAGCTACTCTGTAATGTACTAGAAAGGACAGAGAACCAGGATTTGGGAAACCCTGGTTCTAGTTTTGACTCTATGAACAACTGACTGGGTGACCTTCGCAAATCTCTTAACCTCTCTAAGCTTCAGTGGGACAATTAAAATGAAGAGTTAGAGGAGACAGTCCCTTCCAGCTCTAAAACACAATTATTTCCTAATTCTAGACTTGTCAGACTGGGGTTTTTTTTCTAAGATGCTGTCAGCAGAGTGTCCTAATGAATCAAAATACTGTCGCAGAATCTATTACTAGCTTGATGACACACTCTGTGTGCACACTTCCCCACAAAGAAATACATTTCCTTTAAAACTGCTAATAACAACAGCAATGGCAACATTTGACATTTACAAAGCACTTTAAAATGCAAAACACTTTACAGACGTTATCTCACAACAGTGATTCAAGGTAGGTACTACAGTGGTTATCATCCCCATTTTATAGGTGAGAAAACTGAAGGCTCAGAGATAGTAAGTCACTGCCCAGGGATCACACATGACTAATAAATGTAAGAGGCAGGAATTGAACCCAAGTCTTCTTGACTCTGACTCTAGAAACTGCAACTTCCAGTCAAAAATATGATGTGAGTAAAACACTTTGGAACTTAAAAGTGCTCTTCAAATGTGAGTTAATATTATTATTTAGTTATTTCTCACCGCTATGTCCACTGGAGAAATGCAGGTAAGGAGTTTCAAAAATCCTTACTTATACTTGAGGCCAATGGATTCAGAGCTTCAGTCAACCATTTTATATTTGTTTTATTTTTTAAAAAATATGTAAAAATTGTGTTTAATTTGCCTTAACTATTCTCCCACTACACCTGCCACTTTGGCTAAAAAATGGGATATACTGACTGTTACCTATGAGGGCTCTCTGAGGCAAGAGGCATATATTTCAAAGACTATATTAAAATTACACATATAAAATTATGACATATACACATATATTATTTAGTCTACTAATATAGTCATACACACACACACACACACACAACACTAAGGAAAAAAGTAGTCTTCTCATAACATCATGACTTCCTATAGCTAAGAAAGCCAAAGACTTTTGGAGGAGCAAAACAGCATAAGGTTACTACAAGTGAACTAAATCTGTTTCGTTTTTCTCTGAATGCATCAATATTCTAGATATAAGTTATATCAAAGAAAAGAAGAAAAGACCACACAGGTCTCTTTGGGACTCCCCTCTCCTCTGAACACAGCAGAGATTAGTCCAACATATAAGCCTTTTGGATGTCTTACCTTTCAGTCTCCCTGCTGCACTCCTCAGGAAGAGACTCCCATCTCGAACAAGCTTTTTTCGTTTCAAATCTTCCTTGGCAAACATCTGTCCACTCTTCATCCTCATAATCGACTTGCTGTCTGTCTTGGTGTAAATCTCATTGAGACGGACTTTCTTTTCATAATTTGCAACTTTGCTGTCCACTGCTCCAATCACATCTTTCACCAGGCTCAGAGACTGGGCCAGATCTTCCTGTTCTAAGTCATTTTCTTAGAAAGAGAAAAAAGGAGGAGACTGATTTTATTTCTTTCCTTTAGAATAAGTTAAAAAGGGAGAGAATCCTACCTTCTTAATCCACTATCCACACTCTGATACTATTTTCTCTTTTCACATTTGTGTTAACATAGAGTGATAATGATAATTATTTCACCTGAGACAATCCAAGGCTCTGTTCTTATGCCTCAGTGAGTCACAAAATAATTAAAAACTTTATATTACACTGAAAATATAGCGAATTCTAAAACGGACAACACACAACAAATAACTTTAGGTGGTGAAAAAGGCCAGGTTTCATGTCCATATCTTAAACTTATCTTTTACCAAATCTTAGAATTATAACCTCCTTGAAGGTAGAACAGGGCCTTTATTTTTGTAACTGAGAGTAAATAACTGTAAGCATGTAATCAGTGATAAAGAACACGACAGCACCTTTAAGCTTAGGATATGAACCCTTTAACTCTGTTGGAAAAACTAATGGAGATCAATGATAGAACAGACTCCACAAGTCAATCATGTAGATAGACAGAAGTTCTTCAGCTACCAAAGAAACTCTGAATCAGATAGAAGTGTATAAACATCTGGTCCTTTTTCTTTCTACCACCCACCTTTACATTCTAGGAAAACTCTTCAAGCATACCTAGCATTAAATTATCTAGAGAATATGGACTCAAGTAAAAGATAAGACATCAGCTTCACTTCTAATCAACCAGAGAGTTAAGTCACTATTTCAGTGGCTCACGGCTCTTACTGGGCATGCTATACACAATGAATATAATCCACAAGAATAAAAGACAAAGGAGAAAGTTACCTTTGGTACACTGTAATATTCTTTGTAACAAAACTGGATATTTGGTAATGCGCTGGGTTACAAGTAAAATGCATTCTGGGATACCCAACCTCCTAACAACTGCACTGCTCATCTTCTTCTGAAAAAGGAAAAAAAGCTACAGTTAAGACAAAGATCAAAGATGATCCGGATCCTCTTGCATATTTTTGATCCACTGGATTTTATGCATTCATACCCATGTGAAAGGAGGGAAAGTACACACCTTTACAAAGGCCTGAAAGCGCTTATCCTTAGTGTGAAGGTCTTTGAAATAGTTCACAGACTGGTTGTGCTGACCACAAAATTTGCCATATGTTTTCTTTAGGCGCTCTGCATTCTCACCTGAAAACTACAAAGAGGAGAGAAGGAACATGAGTGAGGCATCGTAGTACACAAGAGATGTATCAATAACAGATACCAGAACAGAGACAATGCCTCCAACCCATAAATAGAAACTGTAGTTTTTAGGTAAAAACCTTCCCCTTGCTTCTAGATATGGCTATCTGAGAAAAAGCTAGTTATTTCTGCTCAAATATGATAAATTATCAACAGCCATGAAAAGTCAACATATATTAGCAGTAAACACTTAAGTGATTTGGAAAACTATGACATTCACTAGGTGGAATTCTGGAGGCACTCAGATTAAGCATTTAACCATCAAGTGTAGACACAAAAGGCAAAAGGATAGACAGAAGTGTAGGCAAAAAGCCAAAAGAAGTAATTCCCACTGACAAAAGGTTTGTTTATCCTGCCTATCTGAAGCTAACACTTTTTTATTTTTAAAATTTCTAGCTTTTTATTAAGTGGTGGAGATTTTGTTGTTGTTCAGTCATTCAGCTATGTCCAACTCTTCATGAGCCTAGGGACCATAGCATGCCAGGTCCTTCTATCCTCTGCTCTCTCTTAAAGTCTGTCCAAGTTCATGTTTATTGTTTTCAAGACACTATCCATCTCATCCTCTGCTTTCCCCTTTTGCTTTTTCCTTCAGTCTTTCCAAATATCACAGTCTTTTTCAAGGAGTCCCATTTTCTCATTATGTGGCCAAAATATTAAGCTTCAGCTTCAGGATTTGATCTTCCAGTGAATAGTCTGAATTAATTTCTTTAAAGATTAACTAATCTGATCTCCTTGTTGTCCAAGGGACTCTCAAACGTTGAAGCCAACACTTTCAATGACTGTCCCAAATGTTGTTCTGAATTTGGACAGAATCAGATGCTCCATTTGAAGACAGAAGCATTTGCTGGGCTAGCATCTTGGAGGCAGGAGATACGGATTTGGATCTAACACTTAATGGATGTGAAACCATAGGCAAATTATCTCCCTTCTCTGAACTTTAGTTTTCTTATCTGTAAAATGAGGATAATGTATTGCACTGTCTACCCACTTCACAAAGGCTGTCATAAGGAAAGCAACTGATAAATCTTTAAATTTGTAAATTGCTGTGAACATGAACTATTAATAACAAAAGTTAACATAAGTTATTATGTCACTTATATCAGTCATGTCTCCACAGTGTTCAGAACACTGTAGAGATGTTATATAACGGATTCTTATAACAAACTTATATTTTACAATCTCCATTTTATATATGGGTAAACAGAGGCAAAAAGAATTTAATCATTTTACTCAAAGTCACCTAAGGAAAGGAATTAAGAGTACTCCAGGGCGATAAAATAAGTAAAAGCACAAATTGGAAAGCATAAGGTATGCGTGCAGGACAGATTGGGCAGACAAGTAGCTGGAGAAGAGGGACTACGTGGCTATGGGAGGCTTAGGAAAACAGAAGAGCCAAAGACAATCAGTTTCTTACATGGAAATGAGCTCAGCTTTTTCAGTTATGTTGCCTTTGAAACAATTACTTTCTATCAATTGGAAATGTTTGACAATGAGAAAAGCAGAACTGAAGGTTAAGGAGAAAGATTAGGGTGCTAAAGGTGTAAATGTGGGCTTCCTTACAGAGGTGTAAGAGCCAAAGTTATCAGGGTAAGTGAAAACTCATAGAGAGAGGGCACGTTAAGAAGAAGAGTGAAAGACTGAATCATGGGGAACATCCTGACAGTTAAGAGGGAAGGATGAAGAGTCAGTCAGCAGTGACAGAGGAAGAACAGAGGCAAGAAGGAAACCGCAACAGCGCTGTGAAGAAAAACAAAGGATGCTTGGAAGGATGAGTGCAATTTCAATCTGACGCAGGCATGTGACTATATAATGGTGGTTCAGTCATGACCATCTCTTCGTGACCCCAATTTGGGGTGCTCTTGGCAAATATACTGGAGTGGTTTGCATTTCCTTCTACTCATTTTATAGACGAGAAAAGTGAAGCAAAGAGGGTTAACAGTTTCAAGATGGAGGGGCCAACAGAGAGCAATGAATGAGAAGCTATCACTGGGTTTGGTGATCAGTAGTCTGTTAATGACCTTTAAAAGTGAGGCTCCAGGGGCAGCTAGATGGTGCAGTGGATTGAGCACTGGCCCTGTATTCAGGAGGACCTGAGTTCAAATCCAGCCTCAGACACTTCACATGTACTAGCCGGGTGACTCTGGCCACGTCACTTAACTCTATAGCCTTACCCCCCCCATATATATATATATACATGTACACACACACACACACACACACACACACACAAAGTGAGGCTCCAGTGGATTTGCTGGGTTGGAAGTCAGAGAATGACGGTGTAAGCAAGAAAAAAGGCAGTTAGGTATAAACTCTTTCTTGAAGGGATATGACTGCAAAAGAGAGGAAGAAACCGAGGGCGTGGGGCGGGTCAAATTCAAGTTTTTTCGCAATACGAAGAAACCTGTGACTAGGCAGACAGGAAGGAACCAGTAAAGAGGCAGAAACTGAAGAGAGGAGAGCACAACTCTCTGTATACAATTGGTACTCAAGAAGTGTCTACTATATGATACAAGAAAGAGAGATGACAGCTAAGGAGGAAAAAGATCCTGGAAGAGGGAGGTGATAATAGGATTGAAAGCACAGGCACAGGAGTAAAAGTAAGAACCCTTGATTCCTGGTCAGACATCTACTAAATTAGCCTTTTTCCATGATAAAAAGTCATGAGCATATAACATGAAGAACAAGGAATACAGCTCGCTAAGTTCTAGGCTTCTGTGTTAGGCTATGAGCATGTTCTTACTTAAGCTGTACAAATATTTGCTTGTGGAGAAGTACACATCTGAAGCAAGCCACTGAATACATCCTGGTGGCAAATAACTTGAAAGCATCAAATGTTTTTCATGCATATTACATATGAGGAAGAATGGTGCTCAATCCACATTACATTTTAAAAATGTAACCAGCAATACCATATGCCTTGTGAGGCACTTTTGTAGACATTTTCTCATTTAGCCTTATAGTCATATGAGTAAGGTTATAAGCAAATAAAATTTTTTGTGGTGAGGCAAAATGGGGAGTCAGAACACCACTTAATTTTCCCCCAATTTCTACTTTTCTTTACTAGTCCACATGACTAGTCTACCGAAGGTATGGGCCCTGAAGAGGAACCTTATATATTTCCCACTACTCACCTGATTCACAAGGACATCTCCTATCCTTTTGATGAGAAAATTCTTTTCACTTTTTTCCACCAGGGATTCCTTCTTTCTTTCCAGAATTTTCTGAAAGAACTGGCTATGGATACTGAGGAGTTCATCCAAACACGGGAACAGCTTTTCCACCATCTGCTGCTCAAAGAGTAGGTCTGTCATCATTCCTCGGCTATACACATCACTCATGATCTTCAAAGTGCGGATGTGATGCAATTCTGTCTGCATCAACTCTAGGTAGGGGAAATCAATCTATTAGTCAATCAACAAACACATTGCCTGCTATGTGCCAGGCATACTATGCTAAGTGCTGGTAATGTCTTTTTTTTTTTTTGGTAAGGTAGAGGTAAAAGGAAGAGAACAGTTTTTCTGACTACATTTTGAATTCCAATTCAATCTTTTCAACTTCAGCCATACGGACCCCCTATCTTCCTCACCTGTGTGCTCTAGTCTCCCCTTTTTTTTGAGGCTTTTTTAATGCCTGACAGTGGCATTGGATTACAAGCCTGTACTGAACTAGAAGTCACTGGATGTTCTCTCTATTGCTGGTTCTTAGTGTTAAGCAACCCTAGTCATCTTGGCTGTTCTTGCATCTCTCATTGCGGACTACTGTGTTTCTCTAGGTTCGGTGTTACCTAAAGCAGTTGAAGAATAGAAATTCTACTCTCAAAGCAGTTCTTTCCCTCACTCTCTTGCAAGAGAACAACAATGTGCAGTGAAATTGCAGAAACATCACAAAGGTCTCTCAAATAAAATAACAGTTGCATAGCATAATGAAGGGTCTCACCATAAATCACCTCTTGCCGCTTGACTATATCCTTCTTTTGTTGTTTCAAAAACTTGCTATCTACTATCCGGCTCCAGGATTCTGCCTCCAGCTGTTTGGAATCCATTTCAAAATCTCCCATGAGTTGTCCTTCATTCATATCAGTTCCTAACCCCAAAACAGGAGAATTCAATGACCAGAATTCATAGGCTAGGAATGCTTAAGAAGTCTACGCCTATTACCCCTCAACGTTAGGACTTCTTTTCTCAAGCCCCTAACACTTTGGGTTTTCTTCATTGTCAGCATGATATAATACAGGGATAGGATTAATTAGGAAAGGGAGAATTTTGTAATAAATTTCCTAGGACTAAAACAAGTATTAATGCATTTCTTGGTATAATTATAGTCATGGTGTAATCAGAACTTGATTCAAGGGAGGCAGCATCATATAAGTGAACAGTTATTAATCCATAATTTCACTCCACTTATTTTTAACTTTATAAAATTACAAAGAATAAAAGAAAGAGTCCCAGGTACTTCATATGTCCCTGGTAGTTGTTCCCAAATAGCTACAAGTATCCAAGGGAAGAAAAAATTTGTATTTTGTAGTATCCAAAGGCTTAATTAATAACTTAGGTATGATGGAAAACTATCCAATAACTATGAAGCTTCTGATCACCAATGTAATAGAAACAGCTTAACATTTTATGGACATGGCTTCACAGGACTCCTCAGAATGATGAGAAGGCAGGTTTCCTCCTCACAGACACTTTCCTTAACTCCCTGCTTTTGCAGAGTAGCTAATGGAACACACTACTATGTCTCTGCAGATGAAGGAATGTAAACCATATCTTCTTACCCTCATCAGTGAGTGACTCTGTGGACTCATTGACCTTGCTGATTTTATTTAAAGAGTCTGTTGAATGGGACAGGAATTTCCAGGTGTTTGCCATGCTCTCATCATTGCCAACTCTGAGGATAAAAGGAAGCACATAATGTCAAATACTCCTGGAAAAAACGATAACTTGCTTTCAAAAGTGAGTACTTGAAAAATTAACCTAAAGCCATTTCAACTGGTCAAAAAACCCCACTATGTATTACTGAAGATAACAATTCACAAGTGAAATTCACAGCAACCTGCAACACCAGCTACAAACCAAAATGAAAAAAAGTGGCAAGACAGAAATGAGTCTTTCAATGATGCTCCACCCACAGCTTTTAAGAAGCTCAAGAGTATTTTCCCCACAGTAATATGAAATAATATCTTTCCCTAAACCATATCAGAAATAATCTCTCTGCCTGGAAATCACTGTGAACCTATTTCATCTTCACTTCCTACTTCCTGACAATTAGATATTCTGAAACATTTGCTGTAATTGCTTTGTATTATTTCTAACTCAAACCAAGAATGGTCATTTGGAAAGACTGTATCTGAAGACATTTAAAAATAATTGCCCAACAAAACAAATAAAACTTTAAGATTAGAACTTTGAAAAGAAGGCCTTATGATGCTACTCCAAAGCTGAGATCATAAAGACCAGCTGGTTGCTTCTCCCTCTCTCTTAGAAAAAGCTGAGAAGACTACAAAGCATGGGTACATGGATGATAAGGAAAGTGGAGACTTAAAAAGAGACTTTTAATGTTTAAGTCAAGGAGATGATTCAAGCCTAAGTTAGCCAAAGTCATTACCCTGCGATGGATGTTTGAGCCCTGAATGTGAAATGGCTTATTTTCTTGGTGTGCAGACAGGCAAGCCCTACACATCACAACAACCACCATCATAATCAACCATTTGCTAATTACTATGCAGCCAAGGCCTGAAATGTCAGTGGAGGCAAAGCTACCTCTGTAGAGGAGTGAGTGTAACACTTTGTAAAGAGCCAAGCAAAGTGGGAAATTTGGCTACAGATAAGTTTTAAAGATTTGGTTGTTACTAACTTGGAATCATGCCTCTTCTCCCCCCTCCCCAATATTCATTTACAAAATGAAACTGATCTTTGTATGGACACTGCTCTGAAAAAAACTGCTAGTTATAAAAGTAAATTATTTTTAGATCAAATATAAATATGACATTTCAAAATATTATCAGACCACAGAATAAAAAGCTCTCAGTTTTTTATTGGGCCCAGTTGCCCATATTTTACCCACTCTATCTTTTTATAACTCAAGTTCATCAAAGGAAGTGGCTCTATTCTAGTATACTTGAAAAAAAAAACACAAACTATAAACAAAACCAACCCCTGAGCAATTAAATAGCATCAATAACCTGGCATATTTTTTCATTTTCCCCACTACCACCACTCAGTAAGCATAGCAAACACACACAATTTTGATCACAAAATTCATGGTAAAAACAGAATGTATCCACTAGGCTATTAGTGATTATATGTTCCAGTGCCAAATGTTCCATCCAGGATTCTGAACTTACCCAGCAATATTCTGTATAGAGACACTTTTGGAAAGTGAGGCACACTGCTGCGACCGCCTGCTAGAGAACAATGGGGCCACAGAGGTCTCATCAGGCACAAGAATTGCAGAACGTGGGCGTTCTTTGGGTTGTGAAGCTGAAAGGAGAATGGAACACTGTCTTAGAAGCATCATATAACCTCTGTACTAAACCGACCAGAAATTTCTTTTCTAAACATTAATTTTTAAATTTTAAGTTCCAAATTCTCTCCCTACATCCAGCTCCTCCCCTCCCCACTGAGAAGGCAAGCAATATGATACCAATTATACAGATGAAGTCATGCAAAACATTTCCATATTAGCCATGTTGCAAAAAAAGCAAGAAAAAATAAAGAACGGAAAGAAATATACTTCAGTTTGCTCTTAGAGTTAATCAGTTCTCTTAAGGTGGATAGTATTTTTTCATCATGAGTCCTTTGGAATTGTCACGGATCACTGTACGGATCAGAGTAGCTAAGTCTTTCAGTTGTTGACCAGAACAATTCAATGTCTACCAATGTCTTGCGCACAGTAAAGGTATTTTAAAACATTTGTTGAATGAATGATCATGTCCCATACCAAACATTGAAGCCTGCCTAGCTGTATAGAGATCATTAAATTGTTCCCAAGTCAACAGTAATAAGTATTAAACATTTTTCAAATATTCCATAAATTCATGTATTCTTGAAGCTGGAATGAACCTGAGTGCTACCAAGTTCAACCCCATCACTTTACAGATTAATCAATAAGCATTTATTAAACAATTATTATATGCCAGGCACATATTTTCCCAAGCCATCTAGTCTTGAAATGTGGGAGTCATCTGACTATATTTCTTCCTTACCTGTCACATACAATTAGCTGCAAAATACTGTTGATTCTGTCTCCACCTTGTCTCTTATATCTACCTTTTCTCCTTTCCACTCCCACTGTAACCACCCCAACACCACCTCTCAGCTGGGCTATTGTAATAGCCCCCTAACTGGTATCTTGCCTCCCGGTTTTTTTCCCTTTCCAATCTATCCTTTATAATGCTGCCTGAGTAATCTTCCTAATAAAGGATTACCCTCATCAAAAATCTTCAGTGGCACTCTAGCATTTAAGAAATAAAACATAATACAGCCTCCTCAATATGGTGTACAAGACAACAATTAGTCTCAAGCCTACCTATGCTACACCCTTCACAGACTTTACACTACTGACAAACCGTATCACAAATCATTTCCCATTCTCCAATACTCTATTCTTCCCCCTCACTTCCATTTGTTGACAGTTCTCTTTTCCTTCAAGGCCCAGTTCAGATTCCAACTTATTTATGAATCCTTCCATGTTTCCTCTTCCTCCTTCAGCTAGAAATGTTTCTATAGCCTCTCTTCTTCACTTAACACATTCTGCTGTGTAGCATAGTTATTTGTACATATGCCTCATCCCACCATTAGACTGTACATTCCTTGAGTGTTGTGTCTATATCATATTTCATCTTTGTTTCCCCATAGCCTAGCACAGAACTTGGAGACTCAGTACACACTTTGTTAATATTTCTTATGAGGATTTTGATTATAGAAGACCTTAAAAGCCAGAGGGAAGAATCTATACTTGGTATATTAGTACATAAGGTCACTGAAGATATTTAAGCAAAGGAGTAACATGATAAAGAGGATTACTTTGGCCTCCAGCAAGATAGATTCTTTATAGAGGATTTATGGAAGGACATGGACAAAAACCACACAGAATGAGAAAGCACAGATGGGCTGCTTTTTATGCTACTAAGGACTGAGCCCACATCAATGAGATCATAGATGCATCAAATTGAGTCTGTATGGATTAGAGAAGTAGATGGAGTAATGGAGGATGGTTAGGATGGTGGATCAGTAATCCAGGCATTAAATGAGGGCCTGGTTTAGGGTGGTGGCAGCAAGGATGGAAAAGGACTCAAAAGATACAAGGAAGATTTAGCATTACTGACTCCTCCTTACCACTAAGTAAAATTTTATCTGGGTAAGCATATATGCATCTCTGTCTGTTTTTAGTGTGTGTGCTGCAGTTTTTTCTAATTTTCACTTTCACAGGGAGGCAATTGTCACGTAGATGTGTCTACTTGAAAGAGATCCTCTGAAGTAAGCTATATGGGGACGAGAGAGAGAGAAAACCTATGTATACAGTAAAGGGCCACCTGGGAAATTCGGGGTATTATGAATATTCAGCTTACAAAACCAATTGCTTGGTAAGCCCCCAAAGTATCAGCAATCTATTCCAAATTTCTTGCAGGACTAGGGTTTCAAAAACGGAGATCCAGCAGGCCAATACTCAGAGCATTTCTGAGGCTGCAATCATTGCTTTCAAGTTTTTGGGGTTACATATAAATTGAACTCTGTGTGTGTGAAAGGAACTCTTTAAGTAAAGGAAGAAACTAGGTATTTTTATTAAGATTGCCCAAGAGGACTTTGAGAGAAGTCCTATTCTTAGTTTTCAGGGAGAGGTGTGTCAAAAGGATTCTTGCTGTCAGGTAAAGTGAGCAAACTTAAGTGAGATATTAAAGCAAGGAAAGAAGGTAGTTTTAATCTCAACTTCTCTTTCTCAGTCACTAAGGCTCTGTTCTGTTTGTGTAAGGTTTTCTAAGATTAGCTTGTTAAGTAAAGGAACTGAAAATGCAGGGCAAGACTCTCCCAGGAGTTAGTTTAGGGGGTGGAATCAGAGAAGGGATTTCTCCGAGTAAAAACATCAAGTTTTTTTCTTTGTATGAAGCTCCAGCAGTAGCTTTATAGTGATAAAGATCCACCAAGCTGCCTGAAGATAGCAAGGCCTGATGAGGAAAAGCTAAGAAAGTATTTTGCTACTCAAAAGTTAAACATGAATTCGGGTTTAATTAGATCCCAAAGCTGAAGTCTGTAAATGGGATTTCAGTGGTTTGTTTAAAATGCATATTAGGGACAGCTAGATGGCACAGTGGATAGAGCACCGGCCCTGGATTCAGAAGGACCTGAGTTCAAATCCGGCCTCAGACACATAAAACTTACTAGCTATGTGACCTTGGGCAAGTCACTTAACCCCATTGCCTAGCCCCCCCCCCAAAATGCATATTAACATTGTAAAAGCTGTTTTTTATAAGTAATACTGGTGATGGGTGTGAGAGAAATAGAGCTCTCTCGATTTGTAAATTATTAAGTGTTAACTCTCCAGATTCTAAAAGGTGAAGAGAAGCAGGACAAAAAGGAGGGTGAGTATGATTGTTAATTTGGAAAACTGTGTTAAAAGCAGTCAAGCCTTTTGTAATCTGTTAATGGAGTTTCAGAGTAGCCAGAACCCTACTCTTGTGTTTCAACAGGAACATAAGCCACTGCATGTCTCCTAAAAAATTTTTGTAATCACTATAAACATCTTAATGGATTTTTTTAAAAAAGGATTTGTCCCACAAACTTCTTCCCATAGTGGGACTACGAACAATGCATCTTTCTATCTTCTTCTGGGAGAATGAGAGATTTGAAGCTCTTTGATTTCCTAGTGAACACCTGAATTTTGTGATATGCAGATTAATGAAGAGAATCCCCTGGGTTGCAATCAAGTCTATAGCTTGGGAAAGTAGCGCTTTAGTAAGACCTTGGTTTAATAATAGTATGTGTAGTCTGGTTTATGGTTAAAATGTAAAGGAAAGTGGGGGTAGTCTGAGTTATGGGTTTCAAAGATTTAGAAAGAAATAAACGCTTGAGAAAAAAAAATGGAAATATAGGTAAGGTTTGGGGACCAATGGGGGACATACTATGCTCACAGCTGGTGGGCAGCAGCAAACCTCTCCTGTCCCTGGATAGTTGCTCTGGGTGCCTTTGTGCCAGCTTTATATGGCTTAAGCATGTTTAGAGGGTGTGAGGAACTTTGACTTTGTTTTAAGTAGAAAGATTGAGAATAAAAACTTTGTAGCTTGATTTGAAAGTCTATGGACAAAGTTATAGAGGGTTAGGAGGAATCAAAATGGAGGATACCACATGTTTCAAGCCCCTCTAGTTACATATTGTCACTTTAAAATCTTTGGTAGTAGATTAGCTGGAAATAAGTGAATCCCACAACATAGAATGCTTGGAATAAATAACCCTCATGTAAAATATAATACTAATTGAAATTACAAATTGAGATTCTGTATGATAACATTTGGAAAATGGATCCACGTGTAATTAATTGAATTTATTCTGGTCTCATTTTAAGTGAAATTTCTAATTTATCATTACATACATCAGGAAACTTGTTAGCTGTGTGGTCTGAAGCCAAGTTACTCCAGTTATGTAATCTGTAATGTGTACATAAAGATAATGCCTAACACTTATTTGGTAATTTACTGTATTAGAAAGATTGTTAGAAATGTGAATTCTTCTTTAGTTCTTTTGGGTTATGGATTTAATTGTTAAAAGACTGATGTAAAAAACAAATAAGAAACAAGTAGCAGCTTAGTAACTGAGTTAGGAGGTCAGTATTTTAAGATTTTAGGATCTAACCTCATGCTTAAATGGTTAAAGTGCAATGATTTGACTTCAATTAAGAATTACAAATTGAAAAGAAAAAGGTTTTTAGAAATCAGTCTGTAACCATTATAGTCTAAGAGTAAGGTTAGATAATCATCTGGTTAATCATGTCCAATCACCTTTCTGGATAAATCTATAGGAAGGCCTTATTAAATCTAACACTACTTAAATATGGATATGGTAAAGGTATTGGTTATTGTGATTTGTAATTGTTAAACAAAATATTACATGTTTCCTTGTACTATTCAATTATTTAATTATTATTTATGTAACTCTGTGAAAGCTCTTAAGATTTCTGCCTAGGGAAACGGGTCACACCCTGCTAGGATTAAATCAAATTCCTCAGGTCTCTTTACCTGGGCCATAAAGCAGCAGTACAATTTATAGTCTTAAGATATTTTAGCCCAGCATATTTTAAGCTAACCTGATAATAACAGGTGAGAATTTAAATTGTTTGTTAAACTTTACATGTATTTCCTAGTCAGCTTGAAATTACCAGGAGGATAGGAATGGGGAGCTAGAGTGCTCTTTATCTGATAAGTCTCAAAAGTAGGGGCAGGGATCCTAGTCTTTTAATGAAGAAAAGGAAAAGGTTATTTGGAGCTGGAAATTATCTCCACATGTCTTTAAAAAAAGGGAAATATATTAATTTGTGGATAATAATCTTCTTTTTCTTCTGAAGTGCTCTGAGTATTGGGCCTGAAAAATTAAAATGTTACCATTCACGATTATAAATCCAGATTTGATTTGATTTAAGTCAAAATCTGTCCTGAAGGAAATAAGAACAGGGTCTGAGAGTTCTCTCCTTATCAACATTATGGTAAATTATAACCTAACATGAAAAGATATTTGTTATTTGACATTAAGGAATTTATTTGCTATGGCCCCAAGAAAGCTGTGTTTACCTCAGTTTACTGTTTGGTAAGGGGATAATAACAGAACTCACCTTCCAGGTTTGTTGTATCACATGATTGTAAAGTACTTGACACAGGGCAAATGTTACATGAATGTTAACTGTTTTTATTATCTCTTTAGTTAGATGTAATTGCCTCACACTTCATAACTTTATATGGGTTTTTAGATGTGATCAACATTCAATGGCAATGGTGATGAGATGAATAATTTTCTATGCAAGGTAATTTGGAAGCACATTCACCTGAATTGATTTGTTTCAAGTTTTAAATACATAATACCGTTTAAGCCCTAAACTTCAGGATATTGTTATATTTCTAAATTTTCTATTACATAATACATTAGCCATGTTGTTAGAAAAGCAATTCCTCTTATAATCTAGATGTTGTTAGATTAAGAACTGTACTGTTCAAAAAAAAAAATTAATGGGTTAGGAAGCTGTTAGGTCATTCAATCAGCCCTGCTGACCATATACTGTTCTAAAGCACTATAATTTAAGAAAATTATAAACTTCCACATTTTGTATATATTTAAGAGGAAGTTTCACCTAAAATTACTTGGCTATCACTTATGAAAATTATAAGGTTGTTAACTAAGTTACCTGGAGTTGTTTTAATCAAGCATTTACATAAGAATTTTAAAAAATTAATACTGTAGGAATTCCAACTGATCAAATGGGAATCCTTGCACAAAATGGGGGTATAGTTTTCAAGCCTGGTTATGTTAATATATAACACATATGATAATATATGTCCATATATGTAAATTTGGGGTTTTTTCCCCCCAGGGGTTTAAGTGAACTATCACATATTTACTATCTATGTGAGATTCCAGAATGTAATTATTTTCTTAATTTCTAGTGATAACATTTAAAGACAAAGGGAAGAAAATGATATTGAGTAAATGTAATGAAAAGACTGGAGAAATGAAAGGAAATAAACATTCATATACTATCTGGTATATGCAAGGGCAGCTAGGTGGCGTAGTGGATAGAGTTACCCTGCCTGGGGTCAGAAAGACTCATCTTTGTGAGTTCCAATCTGGCCTCAGACATTTACTAGCTGTGTGTCACGGCAAGTCATTTAACCCTGTTTACCTCAGTTTTCTCATCTGTAAAATGAGCTGGAGAAGGAAATGGCAAACTACTCAGCATTTCTACCAAGAAAACCCAAAATGGGGGCATGAAGAGTCAGACATGACTGAATAACAACAGACCAACCAGAAGAAAATTCTCTCTCAAAATAGGAAAATATCCTTTGCTATAAGATATCAAGTACTAGGCAGTGTATTTCTCTAATAGTTCAATCAAACTGCACGGGTTATTGCTGGAGGTTAAAGTTTGTCCTGGATTCTGATGAACATAACTGAAAATTTTCGAAGTCTCGCTAACATTCAAAAGTTTAAAGGTATTCTGAGAAATGCATAAAATGTCTAATGAATTGCTTTATGCCTTGTAATAATTCCTGAAATAGCTTCAATAACTAGGCATGCTCTGTGGGTTCCTGCGCTATTAAAACTAGGTCAGAGGTAAAAATTCATGGCAAGGGGTATCCATCCAGTGGAGGTGGGGGGGAGAAACAACTCTCACAGGATACACAAAGGCAGCCTAGCTAATGATGACATCGTTCTGGAAATCCCCAGCACAGGGGTAGCAACAAGGATCGAAGGGTTTTAAGTGTAAGATGTGGCACACATAGTAGGAATGCAAAAACAAAAACCCCAAAACTTGATCACTATAATAAATGAATGTTATAAATACAAAGTAATAACCCAGGAATAGTTCACGAAAAAGACAAAGAAACATGAAGTAGGGGAGGGGCAGGCTAGTTACTTACGTTTATTCCTCATAATGACTGTAGGAAGCGAGGAAGTGTCATGGGCCTGAAGGCTTCCTTTGTGTTGCTAGAAGAAGAAATAACAGAATTCAGTTTGATTAAAAGAGAAAGGAGAGAAAACTATCTGTCTGGGCTTTGTGGAGTGGCAAATTTCACGATGACTATCAACCAAGTAGATTAATCCTCAGGAATCCTATTTTTTTGGAATTCACAATGAACATTTTCAGCAGTCCAATACAACAAAAAGAACATAAGCAGACACTGATGAAAACAACACAACTGTCACCATCCCTGGGCAAAAGTGTGCTCACAACTAAAGAGAGCATGCCTTTTTATCCCTGAGTATCAGTATGGTAGGTAGGGGGTTCAGTGGATAGAACACCAGGCCTGGAGTCAGGAAGACGGGAGTTCAAATCCAGCCTCAGACACTTACTAGCTGTGTGCCCCTGGACAAGCCATTTAACTCTGTTTGCCTCAGTTTCCTCATCTGTAAAACGAGGCAGAGAAGGAAATGGAATTGGGTAAGTTACTTAACCTCTCTAGGACTCAGTTTCCTTATCTGTAAAATGAGAGGATTGAAGTAGATGACCTCTAAGGTTCCTTCTGACTCTACATTTATGATTCTATGAGCCTTTTTTAGGTGTCTTCTATCTATGTGATCATTTCCTAGGAAAATTTAACAGTAACTGTAACATAGACAGGTCAAGCACTGATTAAATGCCTTAGGTATGAATCACCACATAGTGTTGCTGCTGCTTCTGGGGGATGGGGAAAAGAAGGGTATAGGTAACTATACAGTGCTTTCTTACAAGGAGATAATTATATAAGTAAATATAATATGAACAGAACTACAAGAAACATTAACTCACAAACACCACCAAAATATACCACCCTGCACCAAATAAAATAAGCATATGTTACCTTGTGAGAAGCAGTATAACACAGTGGACCAAGAGCTGGTGATGGAACCAGGAATATCTTTAACCTCCTAATGATCTAGGCAAGTCTCTAAGACTATAAATTGCAGAGAAGGTAATGACCTGCATTGGTAGAGGGAGTTTTCTCATCTTGGAGTTCCCTATGTCAATGAAACTCCAGGTCCAGTCCCTATGCCTCAGCTCCTCTGTTGGCCTTGTTCATGCATTTATTTATAGGCCATGCACAGTGCTAGTAGTAGTTTGAGGCACCACCAGATATACAGTATTTTCTTTCTCTTCTTAACATGACCTAAGCAATTTGTTCTCTAAGGAGGAGATCCCATTACAAATTAGAGGGATCCTAAGCCACTCTCAGAAGTCCAAAGCACCTGATTTCTACTGGATCTTTCCTGACAGTGGACAGCATATGAAGAGTACCAACAGCAGAGAAGCTGAGTATATAAACGAAAAACAAAACAAATCTATTTGACCCTCTCAGGAAGAATATTAAACACAAAGATACATATGTCTAAAATTTAAAGATTTTTAGAGCATGTTTTTTTTCTTTTCTTTTTCAAAAGCTAAAACAATTCTGTTTAAATCAGACAATCAAGTTAAAGAACTGATTTACCTTTTTGGGCAGTAATTTAAAAACAAGTGATGCCTTCTCACATCCTGCCTCCTCTCCCCAAAGAAAAAACAAATAGCCTTCTTTCGTAACTGTTTTTGTGATATGACTGAATTGAGTCCTATCTTTGAGTCAAAAATGTCTTACCTTCATTTTGACCTTTGCACAAGAAGCCAGACTTTCTCTACAGCCTTTGTGGACAAAAGCACCGCAATCTGAAAGGAAAACAGGATCCAAGGTCACAAAGAATAATAATAATAATAAAAAGCTCACAGGTTCACAGATCAATGCTTTCTATCACAAAGCTGCTCACATATATATTCCTAAATGAAATCTCCCACACTTTAGAGTCCTATGCTTTCAGCAATCCTCAAACTGTAGTTGCAGATTGTATCCTTTGGATACACTGTCTCTTCCAGGGATTAGTCATATCATGTCACAAAACTGTGAGAAACCAGAGCAGAAGGAACTCCCAATCAACAAAGATTACAAGTCTGCAGCATTACAGACAAGAAGTTGAAGAAGTGCCCAATTCTAAAGGCCAAAGATTCTGTGCTCAACTCAGATGTCTAGAGAATCAAATGGAGAGTCCCAAACAAAGAAGATGCAGACAAAGAAGGAAACAAAATAAAATACCTATAATTTGCATTACTGTGGCAAAGGCCTTACAATCTATCTTCAGGTATCCTTATGACTTGGCTTCCAGGCAAACACCCAAAGAGGAGCCCTCAATTCATCACACACTTTAAGAAAGTAACTCAGAAAAGTGAGAGCTTCTTAGTTAGCAAAGAGTAGACTGCCATTTACAAGGGAACAATTTTGATTTTTCGTTTTATTTCTTAGTCTCTGTTTACACATGAAGATTTCATTTCTGTTCCTTGGAGGAATCATCAGCTGTTGCTCTTGCTGTGATGTCATCAACAGCATTATGAAAAAAAGGGCAGAAGAACAGGCAGACACAGCAGACACAGATAAAGCTTCATCCCTGGGGACACACTTCCTAAGTATCTCTCACAAAAGAGAAACATATTCAGGAAATCAATAACAGACACTGATCATTAAGCAATGGTTTCCAACTGATCTCAGAGGAGCAAGTTTATTCACCAATTATGCTCAAGATGTTAAATGACCTCAGCAAGCTATTTTCTTCTTGGGGGTGGGGACACATGAGATGGAGAAAGAAAAAGTATGCTTGCCAGATTTCAGCCCCAGAATCTGACCTCTTCCTGTCCCTGATGTTACTTTTGCAAATATATTTGTAAAACCAGCTTAATGTAGTATACAGATATGGGATTACAGGTGTGGCAAACTGAACTTTAGACTTGGTTCTTCCAGTCATTATGTGATGGTAGGCAAATCACCCTCTCTAGACTTCAGTTTTCTCATCTATAAAATAAGAGATTTGATTAGATTTTCTCAGAGGTCCCTTTCAACTTTACAATTCTATGACTCTACTTACAAGTCTTTTTTTTGCTGGGTTTACACTAAGACAATCTATTATGTCAGAGAGTAAAATTCTCAAGCAATTTCACTGAACTGAGATAAACAATGAGTATTTAAAATGAGTTTTTAACTTCCTTTTATGTTATCTGGATAAACACTACAATAAACTGGTACTCTAAAGCAGAGCCGTCAAGCATGTGGCCTATACCACTCTCAAGTGCAGCCCAAACTAGATTAAAATGTAATTGGGATATAGTTAACAACATAAAAAAATACAATCAAACACAGATATTACATTTTAAAACTAAATCAATATGCAGCCCACAGGGATACTGCTGTATGGATTAGTGTCCCCTGTTTCTTTTTGGGTTGTGTTCTTCAAGGAATGTGGTAGACTCAGTAGCCATTAAGCACAATGACTTAGGGAACTTTGGGCTGAGAATACCAATCTATCAGTAGTCAGACAAAACCCATCATAAATCCCCATACTTTTCAATACTATTCTTTATTAGGTAGGGTCATATCAGATAGGCTGGGGGGAGAAGATGCTTTTTGGAGGGCATCTTGCTTCTTCTAAGTCTGTCAGGGTCTCCTCAGACGCAGAATCACTACCTCATAGACCACCCAGAATCTGAGCAAGAATCCTTTTCAAAATAGAGGATCATAATAGAACTAGAAGGTACGTAAGAGGTCATCTAGTCAAACTTCATTTTATAGATGGGGCACAGTTATCTGGTCTTTGAAGACCTAAATTGGGAGGGAGCTCACCTTTCTCCCCAAGTTTCACTTTTGAATAATGTTGTTTGGAAATTTCTCCTTAGATGTAATTCAAATTTGTTATCTTGGCAATTGCTACACATTGCTTTTAGTTTTGCCCTTTGGAGTCATGTGGAACTCATCTAATTCCTCTTCCATGAAACAACCCTTGAAAATGCTTATCGTGTCCCTCTCCAGTTTTATCTTCTCTAGGTTACACATCTCCAGTTCTTTTAACTGATCCTAAGATGACTTGACCTTGAGGGCCTTCAACATTCTGGTTACCTTCTCTGAACACTCTCCAGCTTACTGACATCCTTCCTAAAAGGCAGAACTGAACAAGACACTCCAGATATGGTCTCACCAGAGCAAAGTACAGTGAACTATTACTGGAATACTATCTTAATGCAGCCTAAGATCCCATTAGGCCTCTTGGTTAACATATCACATTGTTCTATCAAGCCTGCAGGCTACTAAAACCTCTCCAAACAGCTTCTCCACCTCCCCCTCCCCCAGAAGCAACTAATGTATTATCACAAGTATCTTACTTGAAGTTTGCTGTTGCTAAAGGGTTACAAAGGGTCATAGTAAAGTGGCCACATCAAACCAAAAAAAAAAAAAATCCATCAAGGTAAAGGATTGAAGCTGTTACCTGGTGACCCAAACTCAAATTAAGCCCGTTTGACCAACTAAATACTAATTCTGGGACTTCAGTAAGAAATCTTTCAGAAGTCCTTCCTCAGTAGATTCAAGATGTTAGGATATAAAGCATTGACTAATCAGTGAGGTAACTTGTATATATAGTTTAATAATTTAAAGAGCACTGAAAATAGTTAATAACCACAGTTAACGGAAAGTAGGCTGAACTTAAGAGTTTTCTGACTACCTCTCAGTCGAAGGGGATACACATATTAACGAGGATTTCCATAGGAAATGTTTCTTCCTTTATTTATTTATTTTGTGAGTATACTGAAGAGACAAAGTAATGATTTCTACATCAAGGCGGGGTGGGGAACAACCCAGAGACAGGAACAAGACATGCATCGTGGTGGTTTGAACTTCCACCTCTGCAGGCAAACCTAAGCCAAAAGACCCCAAACCTTTTAGTCTGTGGTCTTCTTTAGTGGGTCAAAAGCAAAACCTCAGATGGGTATGGATAACTTTGTTTTTGCTGTATTCTCCTTCAGAGACCTAATATGCTGATTGGCACCCAGGAGCTCCACAGTGGACTCTGTTTATTAACATACTGTACTCCAATACAATTCTCTGACCACTTTCTAGGTAAAAGATGGAATAGATACACTCATTTCCTAAGTTATGAACAACCATCATGTGAATATCTTGTTTGCACAAATGCCTGGGAAGGGAAAGGAAAAAGCATTTATACGGTGCCTACTCCATGTGAGGAACTTTGCTAAGTGCTTTAAAAGTTGATTTCTCATTTGATGGTTGGTTGCACACTACCTCTTCCACTCTCCAAAATTCTCTCAGCCTCCCTTTTCTCCCTACTCTTTGGGTCTTCTTAGCCCTGTAACACACAGGGATCAATACCACCCAGAGGGCTGATGTGGGGAATTGTATGATGCAATATTTTTGTTCTATAACAATTTCTTTCTTCCAATGGGCCTTATGCAGTGATGCTCCTTATCCCCTTTTCTGTCTTCTATAGCTCAGTTCTTTTCACCTCAGATAAGCCCTCTCTAGGACATATCCCATTAATGCCTTTTCCACTTCTCTTTCCAACCCTCTCTCAGTTATCTCAGATATATTAATTACTGTTAATTTCACAGAATAATCTTAATCGCAGCTGGCAACTGTAAGATTAGTATTAATAACTCCGGGAAAATTACACTTACAATAATTTAGGGAAAAATTATGAGCTTGAAGGGAAATATGACATAAAGAATGAGTGCCATCAACTTCTAAAATTCTTCAAATGATCTACAGTAGAAGTCTCCCCTTTTAAAAGCATCTTAGAACTTTTAAGTAAATCTCTTCTTCAAATTCTAATATATAAGTAAACAAGCAATAAATTTTGTCTTATTATTTTCTTTAATTACTGATGTTTGCAATTTGTATCATTCTCTATTATTTCACACCACAAGTGTATAATATTTCAACTACACTATGAACTTTGTAGACTTTTATGGGCTAGCCTGGGAATTTAATCACTATTTAGCATTGTTTCTGTGGGAAAATAGGTTCCAAGTTTCAAACAACCAATTTACAAATGGATATTTAGAATACAACCAGTTTCTAGGCTGGGAACTGCATGTACTTTCTTTCAGGGCTATTTCCAATGCTCCGCTGCAATCCATCTGGCAAAGCTGCTTTGTGAGGTGGAAAATTATCACTTTAACAGACAGTTTCAGCAACATTCAAAATCCTCAGTTAGGGGTATAAAGTAGCCTGATGAATCTGAACTGTGACACCAACTGATTGAGCACAAAAAGCAAGGATGTTAAGAAGATATTTTAAACAAACTGAAATATTCCCATTAAATTGCTTTTCTAACTAAACTAAGACTCTCTCATGGAGCTCCCATTTAAAGAAATTCACTGGCCTGTTGCTATACTGTGATCACAAGTCTCATTTAAATAAATAGTGGAAATGGAGTCTGCTCAAAGACACTCAAGCACCCACTTGAAAAGCACTCAACTTGTTCCCAAGTTGTCCTGTGCCCAACTCTGATGGGCAGTTTTAGTGCTCTATGTGGGTGATGTAAAAATATCAACTTCATTGACATCGGGGTCATGTGGTTGAAATCCCATACTCTATTGTGGGGGAAAAAAAAGACAACAGGCAAGAACAAAATAATTACAGACAAGTCTAAACCATTTTCATGTCCCTTGCCACAACCATAGTTGAGTTTTCAAAAAAGATCAAAGGAAAGTTGACTGGCCAACTATTTCAGATTTCCTAATAGAAGTAAGCAACATGCGTTTGTCTTCCAAAGGCCTTCTCAAGTAGTGTCTCAAAACAGTGGTTTATGGAAATAGAACCGCCCCCCCCACCG